TTACTATGTAAGAATATGACCCATGTAAATCTAGAATAATCATCCACAAGAACTAAGACATATCTTTTTCCACTTCTACTTTGAATTCTAACGGGGCCACACAAATCCATATGAATGAGTTCCAATGGTTTTGTGGTGCTTACCATTTTCTTTGATTTAAATGATGATCGAACATGCTTTCCTTTGATGCAGGCTTCACAAATTTTGTCATTTAGGAATTTGATAGAAGGTAATCCGATTACCAAGTCCTTTGACCTTAATTTGTCAAGCAATGAAAGACTAGCATGTCCAAAACGTTTATGCCATAGAAGTGGATCATCCTCAATAACACTTAAACAAGATAGATTGTATTTTGGAACTTTGTTAAGGTCCACGGTATATGTGTTCCCTTTACGAGTTCCTTCCAAAACGATTTTACCAGTGTTATTGTTGATGATTTTGCATTTTTCAGAAGAAAAGCTTACAGAGTTTCCTTTATCACAAAACTGAGAAATACTGAGTAGATTATGCTTCAAACCCTTGACTAAAAATACATTGTCAATTGCATGGGAACTTGACCTTCCTACTTTGCCAACAGCAACAATGTTGCCTTTCTTATTGTCTCCAAAGGTCACTGTTCCCCCTGTATAGGCCGTCAGTGAGAGAAATCTGGATTCATCTCCTGTCATGTGCTTAGAACAACCGCTATCGAGGTACCACTGGTTGTTCCCCCTCACTGCGACCTGCAAAAGAAATTAAGGGTTAGTAGCAGGAACCCTTTCATTCATGGGTTCCTGTGTTGACACATTTAAATCAGATTTCTTCTGCCAAACATAGTTCACATTCTTATTGTACAGATTTGCTTTCTTAGTACATTCTTCACTGCGATGTTCCTTTTTACCACAAAAAGAACAAACGGTCTCACTAGGTAAGTTCACATATTTCTTTTTCTTTCCAGTGGACTTCTTCTTATGAACATAGCCTAGACCTTCTGTTCTTTTTGTCTGAGCTTCCTTTACCCACTTGGGAACACCCGTGCTTGCTGTATTTTTACTTTTTCTTGCAATTTCTAGGTCCTTTTCTAGTTTCTCATTTTTATCATTGGTTTCCTTTATCTCTTTCTTAACATGCTCTAGTTCATTATTAAACATGATTAAAGGAACTTCAGTAGACCTGCAAGAATCAATGTTAGTACACAACATTTTATATTGAGTCAATTCAATATTCAGCATGATATTCTCACTCTTGACTCTTTCAAGGGATTCTTTTAGCATAATATTTTTATCTAACAATTCAAAGAATCTGCCTTGAACATCATTTCTTAAGCTATTCAGATACTTAACATGATCTCTACAAATTCCAGTTGCCTTTTCGGCTTGCCTTAGTTTTGCACATAATTCTTTATATTCATCTAAGGTTTCTAACAATAAAGAGATTAATTTATCCTTTGAGAGAGATTTCAAATAACTAGGTTGAATGACTACCTCATCATCATGCTTTGCCATTAGACAGAGATTGGCTACTTCATCGTCTGTGTGTTCCTGTTCCACTTCTTCGGAACTTGATTCTCCCCACGTGGAAATCATTGCTTTCCTGAAATTTGTTTTAGAAAAGTTAGGCTTGGAATTTCTGCTTTGATCAGCTTCTTTTCCCTTGCCTTTCTCAGATTCCCATAATGGACACTCTTTGATGAAGTGGTTGGTGCTTCCACATTTGTGACAAGAAGACTTGGCTTTGGGTTCCTGATTTCTTTTACTGTATCCTTTCTTCTTGTCTAAAAACTTGTTGTTACGGTAGAATTTTTTCAGCCTTCTCACCAACATTGCAGCTTCTTCTTCATCGATGTCAGACTTCTCTTCGGATTCTTCATTAGCTCTTAATGCTAGCCCTTGACTTTTGACAGTCTCCTGAGTCCGATTGTTCGACTGGATCTCGTGAGTAATGAGGGAACCCGCAAGTTGTTCCAGATTGAACTTGGTGAAGTCTTTTGATTCCTGCACCGCTGCAACCTTTGCTCTCCATCTGTCATTGTCTGGAAGACTTCTTAAGACTTTTCTGACCTGCTCATCTATAGGAATTATCTTGCCAAGACACGTTAGTTCGTTAGTAATACTTTTAAATCGAGTAAACATGTCTTTAATGGATTCTTTGTTTCCCATTTCAAAGCGCTCATACTGAGACAAAAGAATGTCTATTTTGGAACGTTTAACATCTGACGTTCCTTCATGTGTAACTTCCAGAAGATCCCAAATTTCCTTTGCGGACTTGCACCCTTTGACACGAGTATGTTCATCGGGTCCAAGTCCCCAAATTAAAAATTTTTTGGCAGTAGCATTCATTTCAAGTTTTTCAAAATCAGTTTTTTCATACTCATCCATAGGTTTAGGGATTACCTCATTATTAGCATTTGTTTTCGTAATTTCGTAATCTCCTACTTGTAAAATCCGCCATACCTGATAATTCTCTGCTTGGATAAAGATTTCCATCTTATCCTTCCAATAAGGATAAAATTTGCCATTGAAGTATGGAGGCCTTTGAATGGATGTACTCCCGAATTCCTTTTCCTCTGTGTAAGCCATTTTCCAGGAACTTACTCAACAGGGTTGCCTGCGTGTTCTGAGTTCCCGCTCTGATACCAACTGAAAGTCTAACTGGCTAATACAAGAGGGGGGGTGAATTGTATTTGAGGTGAAATCTAAAAACTTTTTGCGGAATTTAACTAAATGAAATAATGACGAGAGAAGATATAGGCTTTTCTAAATTTCCACTATGTAATCAAACTCTGTACAAGTGAAGATTCAAACCCGTTAACAAGTTCCCCAAATTAGGAACTTGTTCCCAACTCTCACAGAAGACTTCAGCAACGAAGCTTCCTTAACCTCACCTTACAAACTCACAATCCCAACCCCAAAGTACTTGTATACAATCTGTGATTACAAATACCTATTGCACTCAAGAATATATGAAGGAAAATAACTCTCTTTATGTTATTAGATGGCTACTGGAATTTTTATGCTTAAGAGTTATGTTTTTCTGAGATAGTTTGCACGAGTATTTATAGAGAAGGCTTAGTCATTAACCTCCACCATAATCACGTCCACATGTCAACAACCCACTAACAACTTGTGGAGTTATCTTGACAGATTGTGATCATGAAGAGGTTTCCTAGCCTTATCTAATTAAACCACTATCCTAACAACTTGATAACCATTAGCCGTATAAAAGATTTTCTCACAGAAAAACCACTTGCTAACTTTATCAAATATTTTATTTAAAAGATTATCAAAAGTTTGTTTAAAAAGATTTTATTTGAAAAGATAAATTTATTATTTATTAAAACAACTAGATAATTATCTTCGATAATTATCTTTATTAAAACTTTTACAAATTATCTTTTCTTTAAGAAATTATCTTTTAAAACTAACTTTTATTCCAGTAGTCTTTAACATAAGTCATTGAGTTCCTTTCCGACTTTATATTATTGAGTGCTCACAATTAAAACTAGAACGTGAGATTTGCACGAGGCTTTTTAAAGAATGCTACTCCGCATCCAAGTTCCTACTCCGGAACGAACTTTGCTTGAATCCTTTATTCACCAAAGACTCAAAACATTCATTAGTCGAGTTTGTCAATTTGTCCATCAAAACCAAAAGGCTCAACAGCAAGTATTTTGAAACAGCAGATGATACAACAAAGTATTAAATGTATCACAGTAATAAATATCAACATCTTTAGCACCTTAATACTAAGCAGTTCTCATGTATTTACTTTCTTCCAGGGTCTGAGAATGAGAAAATAGTAACAAATATTCTCTTTCCTTTTTCCATCCTTAAGTATTCCTGAAACTCTAGTTTCTCAAAGAGCACATCAAACCTTCTCCTCCTATTGCAGCCATAATCTCCAATTACTATGCATTAGTATTTATTTGGAAGACAATACCAATCCTTTGATCAGTGAGATAATTTAATTCTTACTGACATCAACAAGAGAATGTGATGCAATAAATCAATAACTCATCCTAACTTAAACTAGTTACTACCAGGAAAAAAAAAATATCAACAACAAGGTGCCACAATGCCAATATCATTCCTCAAACAAGATACTTTAACATTTTCCAACTCAATCAAGGTAGACAACTCTATCATCAAAACAAAGTGATCAAGTCTCTCTATGACAAGGAGTGCGCTACATGTCTCCATTAAAAACTAGCATTTAAAATGTCATGCAAGTATCTTTGACAAAGCTATAAACTGCATCTTGACGACCTGATGCAAATATTTCAATGTCAGACATATTGCCCAAGGCACTATTCTGGTTCACAAAATATCATTAAGTTCTACTTCAGGCTCCAACTAGCTTATGTCCCGTGCCATGCACGGCTTTTATTAATTTATAACGAATCATAATGTTAATTTAGTAATAACTTACCAAAAGAAAAATATTTTTTAAATGAAATAATTATCTTGAAATTTAATTTATACTCTTTCTAAAGACGTTTAAGTTATTACTGCATTAGACTTTATAAAAAAATAAAATAAATTTAGGCACTATGAATGAAATAAAATTACTATCTAATTAACTAGTCTCTGTGAAAATTACTACCTTTTATTTTGCGACTTACTACCTAATGATCTAAATCGCGTTTACTATTACTACCTAAGTGTACTTTCCAGTGAATTTAACCAAAAAATGACGTCATAATAGATGTTAATGCATTTAAAGCTATTAGATTAAATTTCCATTTTTTTTTTTTTTGTTTTTAATTAAGTATCTTTGCTATTTACTAAAAGCTCTAAATGCATTGACATCTATTATGACATCATTTGTATGCTAAATTCACCGGAAAGTACACTTAAGGTAACAATAGTAAACGCGATAGAGTTCATTAGATAATAATTCGCAAAAACACAGTTGAAAGGTAGTAATTTACAAGGAGGCAAGTTTGCTAGGTAGTAATTGACAAATTATTCAAGAACAATTTAGGACCAGTAAGAGGAACTTAAGACGTAGGAAAAGCATACCTACACCCAAAGACAACAGTGCCTTCTTTGGCCCACCACATAAACTAATAGCATCAAATGCTGCCATGCAGTCATCAACAGTGTCCCCCTCTTTGAGCACCACCGATGCAGATTCAGCTTCCATTGATTCAGGCCTTTGGATGCGCAACTCCACTGGAAATCCAGTATTGTTATGAATTCTTAGTAAAGGGGACACATTAAGCGATAAACCTTCCTGTAAATGGCCAATGCAGTCATATACACGGTGAAATATAGTAATGGATATATGCTTGTGTTTGCAACCTCTATTTACATTTAACTGAGCCAATACAGTCTTATACCTCAGCATTCTTTGAAACATCAAAAACAATGATTGGCCCTGGACAGGTTCGTAAATCTGTGCAGATCAAAGGCAAGCATATTAAGAAATCGTGAACTATGCTAAAATAACAAAAGGAAATATCCATATTGGATTCATGATCATTCATGATTACACTATAGAAATTAGTAGACATTTTGTAAATGACAATATCATATGTTTATAGGTTTACCCATAGTTCCATCCTGATCAAAGCATGCTCCTTTATCATGACACTTTTCCAATGGATAGATCTTGGGTCCACATTAAGAGTCTTATACTAACTTAAACATGTACTAAAAAAGCCAAAAAGCGTGATGTTCAGAATACAACAGTTGGTTTGAAAGTTCTGTTATTTTATAGGTAGTTGTCTGTTTGTTCTCTCATGTTTAGAGGGAGAGAATGAGATATGTATCGGTCCAAGTTGTGGCTAAATTTGACAAAAGTCATAACACTGAATTTGTTGCGTTGGGAAAACACTTCTCTTGTGAATAGTCGGTAAATGCTCTGTTTTACACAAAGGTAATACAATTTCATTTGCCATTCGACCACCAAAACAAGAAGATTATGAGTGTGAAATTATTCCATCTTTGAAGCAATAAAAGAAAAAATTGTCTATTGCCACTTCATATCTATCTATTCCCACACCACTTTAATTCAATCAAGCCATAAAATTATAACTATATGAAAGTGGATTTAGAAAATTGTAGCGTGGGAATTGACACTCCTGTGAAAGAATTGTGTTTCTGTTTGACTCATTTAGGTAAAGCGCCTAGGACTCAGGCAACCTTATGCATGAAGCAATTATCACATATTCACATTAGCATAACAAGCCATAACTACTAGTTAAAGTCAAACAATTTACCTTGCTGTGATGTAATGCATGTTCTCCAAGCAAAAATCTGAGTTCTGGAAAGAGGTACATGAACTGAAGAAGTTGAAGATATTCCAGGATTTTCAAGCAAAATTGTTGCATAGGATGACTCAGGAGGCTCCTCTAGGTGCCTTGGATGAAGATCAAATTCGTAAATCCATTTGCAAGAAAATGCTTTTTTTGGGGGGAGGGGAGGGGGGTGGAGGGTTAACAAAAAAATGTGCTTATGCATGTAAAAGAAACATAAAAAAGAAAATAATTATACACCAGTAAAGGCAGAATTTTTTTGTCGTTGAACAAAGCCTAGTATCACTTTCTTGCAGGAACCAGACTAGCATTCAGTCATGGATCAGAATTATTCAAGTAGGGTCACCAAAAACTAATTAAGATAACTCTTTTAATTTATGCACAGGTAGAAAAGTACATGTACCGACAAAACAGGAGAACAACAAAGACCAATGAGAGGACAGAATTGATATTTAGTTAAAGAACATCAGAATGAACAAGATGCTGCACTGAAGATTGTCTGAGATGTGCAGGATGGGGCTTGAGGAAGGTGGACGAGAGCCTAGAGGGAAAGACACAGACTGCCAGGCAGGCTCATGGTAATATAAACTGGATTTCTCTAATCCGCATATATTCTAAAATATTTCCTTTTAAGAATCCTTGAACAGAATTCTAGCTTACGCAGGAATTTTCCAAAAGTTTGGACAAGAAATCAAGAACCATCTATACTTTCCCCCAGACAGGCAGACAGCCCACCTTTTGAATATTGATCCAAGGGAAAAACACTTCCGGTGACTTGTGTCTTACTCCAAAAGCAACATCCTAATATCTAAAAGTTTGGTAAGATGTGTATACTCCGTAAGATTCAATTAAATCTCCTTATTGGAAGACATTTGAGTAACAGAAATATTTTACAAAAATTAAAAAAATAAAACAATAAAAAATCAGAAAATAATATATATATATATATATATATATATATATATATATATATATATATATATATAATGGGGAAAGAATCAGACACGGAGACACCTCAAGGAAATGAAAGCTGACTGTCTCCTGCCAACTCTTGCAGATTGATTATTGTGAAAATGGCAAAGAAGGTCCAGATCCAATTGATTTTCCACCTGCAAACATTATGCAACTAATAAAAACTTATTTACATGCACACATGAATATCATTTCTCTGAGAACCTAAGTAGAGAAAACCTTGCAGCAGTTGACCAATATAGCAGAATTTCTAACAGCAAATGGGCCAGCCAAATCCAGTTTTCCAACCACGTACAGTAGCATGTCCAGCAAAACCTCCGTTAATGAAAAATCCAGCTGCGATTGCGAGAAAATTGATAATTGAGATGTAAACATTATGAGCTATAGACTGTGAACACTCATTTCTTTACTTGTATATTCATCTTCCTAACCTCCTGCATTCTAAAATAAAGGCGAGAGAGCATCCCGTGATTTGATATTTCTGTAACCTGTGAAGGGGTGGTTAATCGCCAGTAGATACACAGTTCAATCGGCTGAACAAACTCTCTCCTGCAATTTGGACAATGTAAAAGGGAAGTGATTGATTAAAGACTGAAGACAAAACCATAAGCTACTTTCCCAAAGAAGAACATTATAATAGATAAATGAATAATCCCTCACCAAATGACTCTATACACATCAAAATAGTAAAGCATGGCAGTTAATGTGCTCATCACCCTGGTTTTCTGGGGAAGTATCTGAAAAACAAGTTCAGTGCCATCTATAGATCCTTGAAGAAGAGGTAATTTGTCCCTGGGATCTGACAGTTCATGCACAATGATTAAGGAGATTTTCTCAATTGTCAAACTTATGCAAGGTGCCATTCCAGCTTCTTCAGAAATATCTTGACCATCCAAGGATGCAAGGCAATGTGTTTCAGGTGGACAGGTTTCAGTCATCCTCAAATCAGGAACCACAGGAAGGCCATTAAAAATTTTGAACTTGAATGGATTTCCAGGCTTTTCCACAAACTCCATAGCACCATGAACAAAAGCAGTACCACAATCGCTCTTTTTGTTAACAAGATAGAATGTATTTTTACACATGTGATTTAAAGGTTCTAGATCAGCATTATCCTCATAATTCTCATGCTTACAAGGAGCAATCTTCCAAAGTGAACATGCACTATCATCATTGCTGGAGATGTCAACAAAACCAGATGATCGCAAGTAATTTAGACGCAAAGGAACCCCTGAATCACTCTTAGCATACAGTGACATCAATGAAAACCATGATGTTGAAAAATTCCACATACTTCGCTTCTGCCACTTAACCTGATTACATGTGAAGAGAAGCGGGGAGAAAAAAGGTCATATTCAAGAACTATATCTAAAAATCCATTATTAATCCAATTTAAAAAAATTTAAAAAATAAAACAGAGTTTCATATATTGTCCACATTCTTGTCTCCAGTATGGCCCTCTATTACTCATTTAAAAGAAAACAAAAATCTGCCAAATTTGAGCGTCCAGTTCCTCTTCAGCCATTTCTTTTGTGTACTCTCCACAAGTCAAACCATAATTTTTGAGAAATTCCAAGAAGAATGAAGCCCGATATGATAATTCTCAATAACCCTTCTGACCAGGAAAGTTAAGAGTTTGTTATAGTTTTCTGACAGTACTATAACATTCTGTGTGATTAGCACTCAGCCTCAAAGTATTCGTTTTAAATCTCTTGGCAGATTCATCCCTCATGCCTGAGGACACGCTTGGACAGGATGAAATGAGCCTAACTGATGACAATTCCTAGTTGCAGCCAAAATCAATTGGCCCCAAACATACAGTTATCCAGCACATACAAGGTTCAGCCAGAATTTTCTGAGCTTATATATCTTTGCTGGCTTAAGCAGCCAAAATTTTATAAGGAACATACTTAGATCGATCTAATTTAATATTTTCCAGAATTACAAAGAGAGTGTTGGTTGCTTCATGACAGAACAATTAGCTTCTTTCTTCCAGTGACACTTATGCATTACCTTTATATAGTTAGGCCACATGCAGATGATGTGCAACAGTCTCTAATTACTCAGGATAGAAAGAGTACAGTGAATGAAATACTGTATGAAACAGCCAAGTCATAGTGGCCAAAATTATACATAAGGCTCTGAGATGATAAATAGAGTAGTTAAAAACTTAAGATAAGATCTTTACAGGCAGCACCTATACTTGTATCAGACTTCTACAGTGACATGATAGTCCAGCAGAAATTCAGGAATATTCGAATCATAAACATCCCGCAAGATTGGAGGAAGAGCACCTTGGTTCCGGTCTATAAGAACAAGGAGACTCTCAAGATTGTTCTAACTACCAAGGGATCAAGCTTATGAGCCACACTATGAAATTGTGGGAAAGGGTGATAGAACATAGGCTGAGGGCATGCACAAGCATTTCGGATAACCAATTTGGCTAGAGAGATCTACTATGGAAGCAATCCATTTGATAAGACAAATGATGGAGTTTTATAGGGTAAAAAAGAAGGACCTCCATATGGTTTTTATTGATTTAGAGAAGGCCTATGACAAGGTGCCAAGAAAGGTACTTTGGTGGGCAATATTGAAAAAAGGTATCCCACAAAGGTACGTGGACCTGGTTAAGGATATGTATTGGGATGTATCAACAAATGTGAGGACATGTGGTGGGTTAACAAAAGATTTTCCTATTACAATTGGATTGCATCAAGGGTCTGCATTAAGTCCTTTTCTTTTTGCAATGGTTCTAGATGAAGTAACCAAGCCAATTCAAGATGAGGTCCCATGGTGTATGTTCTTTGCGGATGATATCATTTTGGTGGATGAAACTAAAGCTGGGATTAATGCCAAATCTAGAGGGTTTAAGCTAAGTTAGAGTAAGACTGAATATTTAGTATGTCACTTGGGTACACAGAGGGGGACAAGCGATGATGTAGTGAGTTTGGATGGAAAGGATTTGACCATGAGTGAGTTTTTAAGTATCTTGGATCGAACCATCCAGAAGAATGGTGACATTCATCAAGGCGTGGCCCACATAATCAAGTCGGGGTGGCTTAAATGGAGAGCAGCCACAGGAGTGTTATGTGACCGAACATTCCTTTACAGTTGAAGGAAAAATTCTATAAGACTATCATAAGACCAGTGTTGCTTTATGGTTCTAAGAAGGAGCACATTAAGAAGATGGAGGCTACGGAAATGCACATGTTAAGATAGATGTGCGGGAACACTCTAAGAGATAGAAACAGAAATAGAGTTATTCGCAAGAAAGTGGGTGTTGCAGGCATTGCATACAAACTATGGGAAAATCGTAAATGTTGGTTCGTGCATGTAAGACGAAGACCCCAAGGTGCAACGGTACGAAGAGTTGACGAGTGGGATCATGGAGAGGTTAAACGAGGTAAAGGAAGACCGAATATGACTTGGTTGGAAGGAGTAAGGACGGATATCTGGACTTGCATGAGAATGAGGTATTTGATCGTAAGGGGCGGATGAGGAAGATTTTTGTGATGACTATACGGAATAATTACTTTCAGTTCATATAGCCGACCCCACTTATGGGAATAAGGCTTTGATTGATTAATTGATAAATATCAAAAAAAAAACACCCAAAACCAGAATTCAATGACCCAAAGCAGTGCATATTATTGACATTCTTACCCTGAAAAGAGCCCTTTTGCCAGCAAGAGAATAGTGAACTGCACCGCGTAATTTATATTTGTTTTGCATATTTTCAACAGTTACGTACAAATGTTGATGGACATCTTGGATCGCAACAATAGCACCTAAACATATTACAACAGCATGCTTAATCCAAACACCCTGAAATAGCCGTGTTACCACGTGTATAGTTGTATTAATTACCATCAGGTAGTGCAGCTTCCAAATCTATTTCAGGTTCCTGGTAGCTTGCTGTCCAACTCCTTTCTTCGACATCAGTAGTAGCACTGTTCCCAGAAATCTCAGACAAGGACTCAACAGTAGTCAGAAGCATCTGCTCAGTTAATCAAGTCAATTGGCAGGCATATATACATAATACATTTATAATATAATTAACAAAGATGCCAATGACAACCAAAAAGGAAGCCTAAACATAAATTATCACAAATTACTCATTACAATCAAATTTTACAACTGGCAAAAAGATATGGATTTCACCTGAATCTCAGAGAGAGAAATCGTCAGATTTAAACCTGTAACATAACCTTTGCCAATCCATCCCTGAGTTGAACAATTTGGACCAATGTTATCCCCTGAGATAGGTTTCTCAGCTGATATAGAAGTAGCCAATCGCTCCAAGATATGATTTCCAGAACTTTCACTTGATTCGACAACTTGAGATGCAGAGTCATTAGCAAAAGAGCTTTTTGTAGAAGCAAGTGGACTTGAGAAACTTGCATCTTTAGACAACAAAGATGTCTCTTCCCCATCCGGAACCGGTACAGTAGAATCATCATGATTGAACCATGATGAATCATGGCTTAGTCCAACAGAAGAAAAATGTGGCATTTGAATGTTTTCAACTGATTTCCCCATGCCTTCATTAAGGATCAGAGAAAGGATATCCAAATGAGAAATGTTCAACAAGAACTTCTTCTTTAGATTCTCTGACCATAATTTTAAGTTCAAATCAACTCGTCCTATGATTTCCTTGACCACTCCTGGATGAAAACAGCAAAAATCACTGCATTAATCTCTGAGTTATAACTCTTTCACAATCCCCCCCCCCCCCATCAAAAAAAAATTAAGGGGGAAAAAAAGAACACATCAGAAGGGAATCAAGACTATATAGGAATAAATAACATACTAGCTTCATCAGTCACTAGAAGTGCAAGTGATAATTGTGACACCTTAATACTATATGCTTTCAAGAGTTCCAGCTTGATAAAAGAAGTTTTTGTTTGAGCAGGCTCCTCGATATGCTTTTCACCCAAATCATTTGAATCCCCTTCAGCTGTCTCCGAGAATTTTCTTTGCAGGTAATGCTTGATAAGATTCCTAATAAATTGAAGATATGAAGTAACACAGCGCGCGAACCCCGCCAAAACCTTAGTTTCGATGAAGATATGACCACCCTGTTAAAAACTCTTAATGTCATTCCCGTCAGAGATTCTAAATCAGAGCACAAAACAAACTAAAGACAATAGCAACAAAATTGATGAAAGAAATTGTTGATAAGTATTAGGTGACTCGTACTTCGTAGCTTTGTCCGCCCGATCGGGCGGACATTGCCCGGTCTGACCGGGCGGTGGGGGTTGGATACGTTGAAGCATTCGTATGGAGTTTTCTTCTCGCGCCCGATCGGGCAGACCTTGCCCGGTCTGACCGGGCGGAGAAGGAAAAATGCGGAGACGCGGATTTTACGATTTAAAGTTATCTTTTATGTTATCTTTTTGCCCAAGTATCTTTTATTTTAGGGATTAATATAAAACCTCCCTAATATTAGTATAAGGGTTAAGAGAGAGAGAGTGAGAGCCGTTCTTGAGAAATACAAGAATCATCTTTGTAATCTTTGCAGTTTATAGTGAAATCATTCGATCTCGGTGCCCGTGGACGTAGCTATCACATCGATAGTGAACCACGTAAATTCTTGGTGTTGTTCTTATTGTTTGCATTGAATTTCTTTATTGTTTTCTTGTTTGTTTACGACCTTTGCTTCCGCTGTCGCACAACAATTGGTATCAAGAGCTCAGGTTCAATCCTTGGAGAGTTTCTTGAAGATAACAATGGCAGGAGATTCAACAATAAGAATTGAGAAGTTTACCGGGAAAAATAGTTTCGGGCTATGGCAAATTAAGATGAAGGCTCTGTTAAAACAACAGCAGATATGGCGTCCGTTGGCTCCAAAGAGTACTACTTCGGAGTCAGAAGATGGACCGACTGACCCGCAGTTAGAAGTTATGGAAGAGAAGGCACACTCTACCATATTACTTAGTCTTGATGATCAAATCATCACGGAGGTGGCTGATCAGGAAACGGCGGCTGGATTGTGGCTGAAGCTGGAGTCATTGTATATGACTAAGTCGTTGACCAACAAATTATTACTGAAACAGCGGTTGTTTAGCCTCCGGATGCAGTCAGGTACTTCCTTACGGGAACATCTAGAAAAACTTAACTCTATTTTGCTTGATTTACGTAATTTAGATGTTAAAATTGATGATGAGGATGCTGCGTTGATTTTACTTGTATCTCTACCGTCTAGCTTTGAGAATTTTGTAGAGTCTTTTGTTGTTGGTAAGGATTCTATAACCTTAGAAGAAGTGAAGGCAGCACTTCATACTAGGGAACTCAGAATGAAAGCTACGAGTGATAATGGGGATAATGGTAGTGGGTTGTTTGTTAAGTCCGGAAAGTCTAAAAAGAATAAGGGGTTTAACAAGGGGAACAATGCTGGGTCGGGTGCTGGAAACGGCAAGGATGGATCTAGTAAAACTACTACTAAAACATGTTATTACTGTAAAGAACCGGGTCACTTTAGGAATAATTGTCCGGTGAGGAAAAACAAGTCCCAGGCTGCTGTAGTTGAAGAGAAACCGAATGAGAGCTATAATTCAGAGGAAGATTTAGCATTAGTCAGTTCTGCTAGGTCTGATGATTTATCTGATAACTGGGTTCTAGATTCGGGGTGTTCGTTCCATATGTGTCCACGTCGAGATTGGTTTGATACATATGAACCTCGCAATGGGGGTATGGTTATAGTCGGTAACAATGCTCCATGTAAGGTCACAGGTATTGGTTCCATGAGGTTGAGGACTGTTGATGGGCGGAGGTTAACTTTGACTAATGTACGGCATGTTCCTGCTTTAGGAAAAAAATCTGATTTCATTGGGTACCCTGGATGACTTGGGGTACAATGGTGTGTTTTCAGATGGGGAGTTGTGTATTTTCAGAGGTTCTGAGTTGGTACTTAAGGGTATCAAAAGGAACACCCTCTATGTTTTTGAGGGTGTTACACTGCCTAGTTCTGCGGTTTGCGCATCTGTATCTCACCAGGAGATGACTAAGATTTGGCACATGAGGCTTGATCATATGGGGGAGAAGGGGATGCAGCTATTGTCCAAGAGGGGTCTTCTATCCGGGGTCAAGGTTGCCAACCTTGAATTTTGTGAGCATTGTGTGTTTGGTAAGAAACACAGGTCAAAGTTCAGCAAGGGTGCTCACATTACTGATGCAGTGCTCGATTACATCCATTCAGATTGCTGGGGTCCATCTAGAGTTGAAGGTATGGGAGGTTACCACTATTTTGTGTCATTTGTTGATGACAAGTCCCGATACACATGGCTTAGGTTGCTTAAGTCAAAGGATGAGGCCTTCAAAGTTTTCAAGCAATGGAAAGCTTTGGTGGAAAATCGACAAGGAAGGAAGATCAAGAAGCTACGAACGGACAATGGGCTAGAGTTTTGCAAAGACGAGTTTAATCAGTTCTGTGCAGATGAGGGTATAGGTCGGCATCATACTGTCAGGAAGACACCACAGCAGAACGGTGTAGCAGAACGGGTTAATCAGACACTGCTAGAGAGAGTTCGATGCATGCTCTCTAATGCAGGGCTTGGGAGGAGGTACTGGAGTGAAGCTGTGTTAACAGCTTGTTATGTCATTAATAGGGGTCCTCATTCTGGAATTGATTCCAAAATTCCGTTTGAGATCTGGAGTGGTAAGTTGCCTAATTTTTCGAATTTGAAGATTTTTGGTTGTGTTGCTTATTATCATGTTATTGAGGGTAAGCTGGATCCACGAGCCAAGAAGGGGTGTTTTGTTGGGTACGGGGATGGTGTGAAGGGGTTTAGAATTTTTTCACCTTCGGAGGGTCGGGTCATTCTTAGTAGGGATGTTACTTTCGATGAAAACACCATGTATTCAATTAAAAATGCAGAGATTTCAGATTTGAGAAGGGAAGGAGACAATTTATTACAGACAGATGGGGTACTTGAGGTACATCAGTCTACCATTGCTGATTTACCTCGGGTACAATATATTGATGATGATGCTGATGTTCCAGTGCCGGGTACTCCTGAACCTGAGATTACTCCTACTCATTCTAACTCTGGGGATGAGGTGGAGCAATCTAATCAGGGGTCATCTAGTCAACCTGACACCATTCTTGAGATGCCTAAACGAGTTATCAAGAAGCCTGTTAGATTGATTGAAGAGATGGAGGGAATAAATTGCTGTGTTGATGCGATGACAGGTTATGCATTGAGTGTAGCTGATGATGTAGAGTCATTTGAACCTGCCACATATAAACAAGCAATTAGTTGTAGTGAGTCTGCGCAATGGCTTGCCGCAATGGGTGAAGAGATGCAGTCTCTTTACAAGAACAGAGTGTGGGAACTGGTAAAGGTACCGGAAGGGAGGAAGCTTGTGGGTTGTAAATGGATTTACAAGAAGAAAGAAGGGTTGTCGGAAACTGAGCAAATACGTTTTAAGGCTAGGCTAGTTGCTAAGGGGTTCAGTCAGGTAGAAGGGGTTGATTTTGTTGAGATATTCTCACCTGTGGTTCGACATACTTCTATCCGTGTGTTATTGTCAATTGTAGCACATTTTGATCTTGAGCTGGAGCAGTTGGATGTTAAAACGGCTTTCCTTCATGGCGATTTGGAGGAGGAGATTCTGATGAAGCAGCCCGAAGGATTCGAAGTTCCTGGAAAGGAACACTATGCCTGCAGATTGCTAAAGTCATTGTATGGACTTAAGCAATCCCCCCGACAGTGGTACAAAAGGTTTGATTCTTTTATGGTTTCACAAGGTTTTGACAGGAATTCATATGATTGCTGTGTGTATCATAGTAAGCTGGATAATGGTTCCATGATTTATCTTTTGTTATATGTTGATGACATGTTGGTTGCCACAAAGAATAAATCTGATATTGCTAGATTAAAGGAGATGCTTAACTCGGAGTTTGACATGAAAGACTTGGGTGCAGCTAGGAAGATTTTGGGTATGGAGATCTACAGGGATCGGGCTAGAGGTAAGCTTTTCTTGACTCAGAAAAGCTACATTGAAAAGATTTTGTCTCGTTTTGGGATGGAAAAATCGAAGCCTATAAGTACGCCAACTACTGTTAGTTGTAAGTTGTCTTTGTCTATGTCACCTCAATCAGAGGAGGAGTTGTCTTATATGTCTAGAGTTCCATATGCAAACGCGGTTGGTTGTTTGATGTATGCTATGGTCTGTACTAGGCCGGATATTGCGCATGCTGTTAGTGTTGTAAGCAGGTTTATGGCTCGACCTGGGAGGGAACACTGGCAAGGGGTGAAAAGGATTTTTCGCTACCTGAGAGGGACAACTGATATTGGTCTTGTGTACGGGAATGGTAGGGAATGCTTGGTCACTGGGTACAGTGATTCTGATTATGCAGCTGATGTGGATACCAGGAGGTCTGTGACTGGTTATGTGTTCACTTTGGGTGGTTCTGTGGTTAGTTGGAAGTCTACATTGCAGTCATCAGTTACGTTGTCAACTACTGAAGCTGAGTATATGGCTTTAACTTCTGCAGCTAAGGAGTCTATTTGGCTCAAAGGCCTAGTAGGTGAACTGGGTATTGCACAGGATTTTGCTACAGTGTATTGTGATAGTCTAAGTGCGATTTGCTTAGCTAAAGATCAAGTACACCATGATCGGACGAAGCACATTGATGTCAGGTATCATTTCTTGCGTACTGACAAGAGGATTAAGGTGAAGAAGATTGGGACTGCTGACAACCCGGCTGATTTCTTCACTAAGCCTGTTCCGTTTAGCAAGTTTAAACATTGCTTAGACTTGCTAAATATTGATTACTACGTGATGTAGTAGGCCCTGAGGGGCGAAGTTGGGGAGCTCCTGGTGTAGGTGTGTTGGCCTTAAGGTGGAGCTTGCCCGGGGCTTGTGATGCAGGTGGAGCATTATGAGTTGTTATACTTGGAGACGAGTATGTGATGGGTCTTGGTTGAAGACTTATCGGGATGTATGGCTTATGCATGAGTCTTGCATCGGGTTTGGCTTGAGATGTTTTTCCACTATGTCTTGATGGGGTCGTTTGCTGACTACGAGTTCTCGTCAAGGTGGAGATTGTTGATAAGTATTAGGTGACTCGTACTTCGTAGCTTTGTCCGCCCGATCGGGCGGACATTGCCCGGTCTGACCGGGCGGTGGGGGTTGGATACGTTGAAGCATTCGTATGGAGTTTTCTTCTCGCGCCCGATCGGGCAGACCTTGCCCGGTCTGACCGGGCGGAGAAGGAAAAATGCGGAGACGCGGATTTTACGATTTAAAGTTATCTTTTATGTTATCTTTTTGCCCAAGTATCTTTTATTTTAGGGATTAATATAAAACCTCCCTAATATTAGTATAAGGGTTAAGAGAGAGAGAGTGAGAGCCGTTCTTGAGAAATACAAGAATCATCTTTGTAATCTTTGCAGTTTATAGTGAAATCATTCGATCTCGGTGCCCGTGGACGTAGCTATCACATCGATAGTGAACCACGTAAATTCTTGGTGTTGTTCTTATTGTTTGCATTGAATTTCTTTATTGTTTTCTTGTTTGTTTTCGACCTTTGCTTCCGCTGTCGCACAACAGAAATTTCTAAGCAATTTCATACTTTATTTCAGACAGTGGAAAAAAGAACTAGGCAGAAGGCCGGAAGCTGATGAAGGTACAGGGAATGGGTATCTTTAGAAACTTCTATATAGATTCAAGGTAAGGCAACTACATAGGTTGGGATTGCTGAAATCTGCAAAGCTCCTGCATCAACATATCAAGGACAGATAGGACAAATAATATCTCTCTAGTTTGGAGGCATCCTCGCACATAAAGATTCATATGATTGTCCAAACCAAAATTCCCAACCATCACATGACATTTAGAGTATTACTAAAATTGTACTGTACTTCTTGTTACTATGTATTTGGCCAGTTTGATAAAGGTTATGTAGGTTAAAAAAAAATTAATGATGATGTGTAGCAGGAGATAAGCAACCCCAAAAAACATAGAACATGATTCTCCCAGATCTATTATTCTGAACGAGAAGAATGTACAACAAACGAGGCACTCATCACTAAATGAAATTAGCCATCTATCTATTTCCAATATGTCCATATCAGAATGCAATAATAAATAAAGACAAATATGATGGAAAAGATTGCATAAGTTCACAATTTACAATTAGACAAGTCAGAGAATATATATTTGGTATTAATGAGAATATGGGGGCATCTATGATCCTGAAATATAGTCAAGGGATCAAGCTATATAACCAGAATGGAATCTATAGGTGGAAACCTTATGATTTAATGCTAAGGTCCTTGCAACACACCATCTTCCCCCTCATTCATAAATAAAATAAAAATAAAAAATAAAATAAAAACCCATAAATCAAGAAGCTAATGTCTAAATTGAATCATTTTAAAGCTACTCAATTATAATGCTACCTCTGAGTGTGAAACTCACAAGCTAAAAACAAGAGGCTCAGTTCTGCTTAGAACTTGGCAAAACCCTTAATACAGATCTCCTCACAGGAAAAAAGAGGAGTGTGATCCTCACTTGTTAATTCACGAAAGTAGTACCAAATACAGTAGGAGAATAGGCAAAATAGGTCAACGGCTTTAGGACAGACCCATTTGACTGGTTTAGAAAAAGTATATATCTAAAGCATTGTTGTACTAGATAGGCGAGCCATAACACTCACCATATTTCAAAAAGCTTAGAAAGAGAAGAAAGATAAGATGAGGAAAAAAAAAACTGTTTATTGCAATTACAAGATTCAGACCTGGATACCGAAGACAATACTCTGAAAGTCTCCTCCAACAGATAGTGATAAATGTAGCTTATCCTCCGGGTGAGCCCTAAAAATTCCATTCTTAATTGAGCATGCCGCAATGAAAACCTTTTCTACAGTGATGTTTATTACCAGCATATAACTTGGCATTGAAGCTGATACATTAGACTCAGAACCTTCATCATGAATTTGCTTCGAATTCAAATTATCAATATTCAAGAGAGAACTAAATACACCTTTGGGATTGCTAGTAGATGCTTCACTACCAGCTTTTCTACGTGCTCCTGAACCATTCACAAATTCCAACAACAGATTAAATGTACAACTAGAAAGGGAAACTTCATGCATGCAATCAGCAGAATGTATAACTGCATTCTTGACTTCAGATTTATCACTACTATCAGCTTTTCCAGTCTGACTTTTGTAACTGAACATAATAGCTTGAAATTCATGAACACTTGCATTTGCCTCAGCCTTGGTGTCCCCAACAGAAGCATCCAAGCATGTCTTCTGAATGGAAAGCCAAATTCCACAATTAGACAAGTCTGCCAAGCCCAGGTTTTGAATATTGTTAGCATCAATGAGCATTGAAAGGCGTCTTCTGTCAGTTCCATTCCGGCAGTTATGAAGGATAATATCAAATGGGGAAAGTTCAAAACTGGCTTTATAAAACAGTAAACACTTTCAAAGCTCGAAGCTGCCTCCTTGTTATCTCCGATCTGCATTCGCTCATTTATAAGTCCTGTCTGCGGAGATTGATTTTCAGATATTAACAAAGGATTTTGGACTGCATGCAAACCAGAGCAACCAAGGGAGGATGTTGATGCTGCAGAAAATAAACTTTCAACAACCTGCCAAAATGTGGGATAATCTCTAAGATCCATAATCCAGAATATACAGAAAACAAATAACATAAATTCCACTTTAGTGTCCACGTGAATAGAATACAAAACACATATCAAGAAGCGAACAATACTAAATTACTATGTCTATAATAAGCACATCAAAGCCAAACCTGTGGTAAAAGAAGTTTAAAAAGATAAAGATAACTATAACACTATCATATCTAATTTGACCACTAAAGCTCTAACACATATCTATCACCAGGCAGTAAATAAAGGGCTTACCTGCAAAATCACAGAGAACTCATCCATATATAGAGAACCAGTCACTCCTGACATGGCACCACGTAAGGACAACGAAGATGCAATATTAGATTTCGCAAATGAGTACAGATGATCCCTGAAAAATATATGCATCATACATTAGAATATCAGGAAGAAAAAAAGTAGCACAAAAACATTATATGGAAAGGTGAGACAATCATAAGCAGAGAAGGGGAGGGGCAAAGATGAAGTTACCAAGGATATAGAAATTTAGTAAGCTAATTTACCTTCAATCTAAAAGCAACTATGCATCCAAAACTCAGATATAACAGCATTATGCTCTTAAACGTAATTAAGATCAAAATTGTTATTAATGGGTAAGAGAACATTTAAATTATAACTTTCCTTCTGACAAAAATAAAATTAGTTCATTAATCTGTTAGAATTAAATTGCAACAAGAGGACAAGGTGACCTTATAAAGAAGCATTTAACATAGTACTACTATTACTACTATAGTAATCCCTCCGTTCATTTTTGTTCTTCCCATGTGGAATCTTAGTACTATTCATAAGTTGAGAGAATCTTCTAAATTGTTTTCAATATATAAAACATAATATAGTCATTTTTGGTCTTATTTGATTTGTCTCAATGAGTAGTTTATTCATATTCAATTGTTATACTATTTACTAATAGTACTACAATTATTTATGGTCAAAGTAATGCATTAGCAAATAGGTACAGTCAAAATGGAAAGAACATTTAGGATCGGAGGGAGTAGTTGCTAATTAGCCAAGTTCTATCATAAATCCATATTGTACAGCTTTGGAAAGCCCCCAACCACCTTAGTCCATAAATATGCTACCAAAGTTACTTCATCCCACCACAAGTCATGGGGAACAGTAAAACCATTAAAGACGAGGCCATTCCTCTCAAACCAAATATTCCCTAGAATTGCCATCACAGCATTTCTCCAAAGCAACTTCTACTCCTTTGCCCCACCAAACCTTTCAAACCAAATCTGAAGCAGGTCTTCTATCTTCAAAGGACATACCCAAGCCTGCATAAATAGTCTTCTCCAAAGATGACGAGCAGAATCACAGAGAAGGACATGTACTCATCCTTAGTTCCTTAATCTTCACCAGGAGGTATGAGAAAACGAATACTTCACAGATTTCACATTGCTGACTCTTAACATGAAATAATCTGAAATTCCCATCCATCAAAAAAAAAAAAAATCTATTCCAAGAATCAACAAATAATCATCATTAACAAACTCCTCAATCAAAATTCTAAAATTGTTACCATTCAAAACCCACATCATGTGAATTTCATAAAGTCATTAGTAATGTACTTTTAAGCCCACAACACCAGACTACTGCTAATAATGGTCATATGACAGTAGAAAGATTAGCATAGCCAGTATAAAAGTCATTACTAATGTATTTTTAAGCCCACAACACCAGACTACAGCTAATAATGGTCATATGAGAGTAGAAAGATTAGCATAGCTAGTATAAAAGATCAGTCCCATGTGATAAATTGTTGATGAAATTAGCAGCATGAAAGAAGAAATACTAACTACAGCATCATGTAATCTGCTTATCTCATCAAACCTTTCAATGTTCCCTCACAGTTTCACTAAAAGAAACCCTTCAAACCTGTATTGCTATGCATTATCAGTAAGCTACTTTTATTTCTTAGGAGTTAGGATGTGTAAAAGTACAGTATTCGACAAGCAAAATCCAAGACATAGACTTCAAATTCTAGTTTAGACGAAAGGAGGGTAATCCTTTCTTCATCAAATAGTGACAGCATATGCTGCTTATATATAATAGTATCATCCAGGGAGTAGAAATTTACGCGGGTTAAGGCATGGAAAAGTTTTTGAATAGCAGAGATGAAAAACCCCAACCTCAATGATAATAATTTAATAGTATCATCCAGGGAGTAGAAATTTACGCGGATTAAGGCATGGAAAAATTGAAAGAATAGCAGAAATGAAAAACCCCAACCTCAGTGATGATAATTTAACAGTCAGTGGCTTCAATACTAGGACTTGCATCTGATGATTATCCATCAAATCCTCAAAGTATAAACTTAAACCACCGAGTCTTAATAACAAGAAGTGTGTAATCTGTCCTTTTGAAGCATACTTAATGTTGAATGATCCAGCAAACCCCTCTACCACATGTTCATCCAACTTGAAGAATTCTGATTCATAGTTATCTGGTCTTTGATGTTCTTCGCTTGGTACCCCAGACTTTACAGTTGGCCAAATAGAAAATTCAGTGTTGTGGACATCTATTGTTAGATTGACCCCCTTTTGAACATGTGTAGCATTTGGCTGTGAATCGCTACTTGAAATATCCTCATCTCTGATAGATAACTGGAAACGAGGACCAGCAATGACAGCTCTCACTTCTAGATGTTTGTCAGGAAGCAATTTCAGGATACCTGTATTCATTGCCTTCACACTGTATTTCAACCCACCAGAACATTGATTTTCTTGTGATTCCTCAAAAGTCCTCAAGGAATGCAATGGAATTTCAGCACTCTCAAAACCATCATCCTGATAGAGAGCATGCTGCAACTGCTTTCTGAGTGTATCAAATGATAATATTGATGCATATCCTAATGTGATATTTAGCTTCCCTGCCATCAAATTACATTTCAAGAACCCAGAATCTGGGCTTTTGCCTGGATACACCAAAAATGTGTGAATGGCGCAAACAGCCCATGGATTTTTGTCATAACCACCCTTGCATTCTTCAAATATTAACTGCATTCTTTTCCAAATCAGCTCCATCTCCCCCGATATTTGCTCTAGAATAGGAATATCTTCGTGGTCAGTCTTCCCATCTTCTGAATGGCAACATGTAAGAGCAGGTTCTCCCCTAACAATGGTTTCTGAACCATCGAGTCTCTCTTTCAATTGTCCTCTAAAAACACCACCGACATTTTTTGGCTTAGTTTTGTTTTCTGATTTATGGAAAACAGGTGTAGAAGTAACCTCAAGGAATCCTAGAGTGAAGGAAATATTTTTCTCAGAAATGCTCTCTTCATAAATAAAGAGAAATCTTTTTATCAACAGAACGAACGGAGATACCTCAGCATAAGAAGTTACTTTCCTCAAGTTTGAATTTTGATGAGCAGGAGGATAGCTAGACTCTGTAAGAGAAACCATAGCCGATATCTTCCCAAGGCTGAGATGGAAGCAACACCTTGGATCAGCAACTTCAGATGTCATACCAAGTTGACCAATTTTGGGTGATTTCTTATGCAGGCGAAAAACAGACACGATGATTCCAAGTATTTTTACTGTTGAGTCCCATATGAAAGCCAGTGGCAAGATGCAGAAGCTATTGTGACGACCACTCATAGATGCCACAACAGAATCTTCAGCGTGAGTTTTTTTCAAGGCTGCTCTAAAACGAGCAACTCGCCTTGCACTAGCTATGGCCTCAGCTGGAAGTTCCTTCTCAATTATTTGTGATATTATTTTCCATTGTTGCTCAGCTAGCCGGGGAAAGTTACCTCCATTTGGCATCCGCACGCCATGTTCAGAGTATCCAACTAATAACAGAAAATAGTGATATTCCTTGACAAGGCGTAGCCAAAGTACTGCAATAAGGACCACACTATAAAACATATATTCGGAAGGTGGCAAAGAATGACGAAATTTCAACCTGACTATACCCCAAAGAAGTCTTCCACTTCTAACATGTTTACATTCTATGTTAAGTAAGTTGTTAAATGCACACATCATTTGAAGTTGGGTAGGAGAAAATGAAAGGTTCAACTCTGGAACAGAAAGAACAGAGTTTACAAGACAAAGATCTTTCATTCCAATGCCAAAATAAGGATTTACACAAGAGAGGATACAACTACTATGATCTTTCTTCTCAGCTCCTATTTCCAGTTTAGAGGCTTCTAGAATTATAGAAGTCTCCCTCAATGATAAAAAAAATAAACTAATAAACCCACCCAAAAGACACCCCAGATCCTTATGTGAAGATTGTGCATTAAGATCACTTGAATAGCAGAACCACGAAAATGTGTCATCTGAAACAGGATATTCAACCCGAATTCTTGCATCATGAAGATGTAAACAGCAATGCATCAATAACAGATTTGTTATGGAGTCCTTAAGCTTGCTTTTCGATAAGGCACACTTTCCTTTTAAGTCTATTTTATAATAATTACAACACATTCTTATTTGATAAAAATCCATAAATATTTTATTATTTGTTTATCCTATCAATCTCACTTACCCTACTTTTTTTTTATTATTTTTCTTTCTTATTAACAATTAAATATACTCAATACTCCTACCAATTATACATCAATCAATAACTTAATACTAAAACAAACACAGGAAGTGACAAGTGGTGTTGTTTTGTCCCTCCAAAACTCCTTCCTTTTTTAACCTTTTTTTTTTTCTTTTTGTGAATATTCCAAATCTTTTATATTACATTTATGACAAATATATTCCTTTTTATTTGGTGTTCATAATTCTTCCACGCACGTTTACCTAAAATATCATTCCAACTCCTTTTTAATTATCTGATAAAACATAGTGATATTAGATTTTGCCAAAAATGTAATACTCCGTGATAAAATTGATTCATATTATATTTTTTTTATTTGATGCATTTATATAATTGATATTAAAGAAATTAGTTTAAAGCGACACTTTTATTTGTTAGATATAATTATTTTAAAAAATAAATAAATAAACTTATTGTGCATGGCACGGGGCCTAAGCTAGTTAAATTATTAAATTCCACTTTGGCCCCCACCCAATTTTTACCCTAAAAAGGTTAAAACTATATGTCATGTCTACTATTGTGATTATCACGAAATGAGAGGAGTACGGATTACAAAAAGTGTGGGGTACCCTGTGCTAAGATGTAAAAATAGGTTAATTAAAAGATAGATGTTTATTACATTGATAGTTGTTTGGTTGATTTCTAAATGTGACTTATGAAACATTCCATAGAAAGGGAAATGATCAAGTTTTACGACCATCTTGTTAGCATCTACTTCCGTATCAAATATAAAAATTGTGGTAATCGAGGAGGAAGGAAGGAAATGATAGAGCTATAGATTCCAAACACGATAGATAAGGAAAAGATCGAGTTGTTATCACACATAAGAAAAAAAATTACATAATTAAAATGTCAAAATTCTAGTATATATATACTAGATTAATCTTTTCCCACAAATTGTGACATAATAAAAAAAAATGAGGCAACTTATGTGGAATAAACAAATGCAATGCATATAGAAAAATAAAAGAATAAGGCAAAAATTATTAAAACTATAATTGAGAAGAAAAAAAAAATTATTGTTGATTATAGTTGTGTTGAAAATATTTAAAAGTAGTATACATTATATTACACTAATGATGTATATTATTTCTCAATAAAACTATACAATCTAGTGACTATGTGACTAAAGACGTATTTATAAATGTTTTTTAACAAACATGAAAATATTAATCAAACAATAGAATAAAATCTACGGGAAATCTATTAGCTAGCACAACGTACATGTAAATATATAAATTACAAATAATATATCACATTTATATCCAATAAAATAATATCAATGGAAATAAATACTATTCGGATCATTAAAGGCAATTATAATCCACAATTAGGTAGCACTAGCCTATATTATTAATAGTACATTTTTATTTAATGAATTGATGTTGTATATGATATCGTCGCTCTTTGTTATTATATAAAAATGTGTTTGGTATCCAATAATTGTAGTTTGATCATTATTTGTTTATTAGCTTAAAATTTTATTTGTAAATGATGACTATTTATCGAAAAAATAAAGGATATGTGTCTATAATTCAGCAAACAATAATAATTTTTTTGTATTTACTAAGATATAAATGTAACAAAAAAAATTGATTGATGTTTCACATTTTCCTAAATATAGACCTATGATATAGTTGTTGAACACAACATTTATTTTATATTCATATCTAATACTTCATTAGTCTAAGAAACAACATATTAGAGGTATTTGGAAAAAAATTAAAGTGACGTTTTAAAATATTTCTTTAATATCAATTATATGAATCAATTTTATTTTTACTATTTTTGAAAAATTCAATAATACTTCGTCTAAAAGGTATCTAGGCGGTAATGATAGTATCTTGTACCTAAACCAGTGGCTAAATTTTTCTATAATTAAAAAAAAAAGTTGGAATAATATTTTTGGTAAATGTGTATGGAAAAATTAAGAACACAATATAAAAGGAAATAAATTTTATGTAAAGATAATATAAAATATTTGGAATAATTTTTATTATAGTTGTATTATACAAATATTATTCCAAAAATAAAAGATTTTTATTATAAAAAGATAAAATATTTTTTTGCTAAAAGGGGAGGGGAGTTTTGGAAGGAAAATACTGCACCAATAAGTGACACGTGTCATTCCTGGTGTCTGTTTTAGTATTATGTTAGTTATTGATATTTTTTCAAATTACTTGTCCTTTTTCATGGATGGTGGAATTTCCTTCATTTTTAAGAGGTACTAAATTTTAATCTCCACTTTTCTCTAAGTTTAGGCATACAACCTCACTTTTTAATGAAGCGAGTGATCTAATGTTGAGGGGTAGTTTGCAAAACCCAAAAGAATTCGAGCTGTATAACTAATTTGGAATTTTGGACCAACCTCAAGCAAATTCGCGTCAACTTTTTATTATTATTTTGTTTGGCCTTGCATAAATGTATCACCAAATTCATTCAAGTTAACATGTGATAACTTTTTTTTTTTTGACAAGAAGAAAAAGGATTTCATTAATAAAAGATAGTCAACGGTACTTACAAACAAATCCTAGGAAAATTAGAATTTCAACACAAGTACAAATCACCTAAGAACTAGATACATCGCAGTTCGATCAACGATCGCCTTAATGAAAAAACTTCATCCGAAACTATACAATCTGTGAGTTAGCACTAATTCGGTTTGAGATCCATTGATGAATAGTTGTTTGAGTGAAAATACTCATTTGGCCTTTTAGATACTTTCGGAGATTTTGAAACCCTAAATTTTCAATCTTCGGCAGACAAACCAAAAAAAAAAATAACCTTAGGGGCCGTTTGGTTCGCAGGTGGTAATCGGAATGGAATGAACAAAGGGAATGAAAGAAAAAGGAATGAAAATCCCTCAAATTTAGTGTGTTGTTTGTTTTAAAAATCAAAGGGAATCACATCACCACCACACCACCACCACCACCACTACACAAACCCCTCTTTCTTCACTATCCCACTTCTCCAGCCACCTCGCCCCTCGCCCCTCGCCGCACCTGCCCCACCCCTCGTCGCCCCTCGCCGCACCGGCCCCACCCCTCGCCGCACTTCCTCTCCTCCCAAACAGCTTTCCCCTCCCCCGAAAACCTTCCCCCACCCTCAAAAAAAACCTAGAACCCTTCCCCAACCACCTAGCCACCCTCGAAACCCTTCCCAACCACCCTCGAAGCCGCACTTCCTCTCCTCCCAAAAACCGATTTGCCTTCCGGCGAGGGGTGGGGGAGTTGAGGGGATGGTCGGCAAGGGGTGGGGGAGGTGCGGCGAAGGGTATGCGGTGGTGCGGTTTCCGGTGATGTGGGTAGGTTGGAGGGTGGTGGTATGGTGGTGTGGTGGTGGCCAAGGAATGAAATGGAAATACCTTGGGGGGTAGGAATGAAGTTAGAGGGGTTTAGGGGAATGAAGGGGGTAAAGGGGATTGGAAAAGTGACCTAACAAACAACAACAAAGGGAATGATTCCCGCCGATTCCCATTCCCTTTGTTGAATACCACCAACCAAACGGCCCCTAAATATAATAACCACCATCTCAAAGATGGGATCCAATTATTGAAAGTAATTAAAAAGTTTTTTGGAATCCATATTAGTAGTATTTAGCCATTTCTCTTAAAAGTTAAAATCATATCGACTCAAGTGGAACATCTAAAAATTCATTCAAGTAGCTTGAATTTGAATTGAGTTGGAATTATCATTACTCACTGATCCAAAATTCATGATTACCCACTACCTTCATAATTTATTTTTCATTCATTCATTTTTTAAAATATTTTTTAAAGATAACATGTAATAAGACATGTCTTAGTGGTCAACACTTCCAAATTGAAGTCGCAAGTTCAAATTTAAATTAGGAGAGCGTCATATAACACATAATTAAATTTATTTATTAGGAACACTTGTTAATTAGGAGAGCGTCATATGTATATATGTTTATTGGCATTACAAAATAAAATAATATCATTGATACACAAACATGTAAATATTAAAAGGTTCAAATAAAATTTATTTTTCTAACATTACATAACAATACAAACTATAATATACAATAAGTCAATAATGCACTTAGTTTTTATGTTGTAATTGCAAAGATAATTAATAAAAATAGCTTATTAGATGGGTAATTTAAGTTATTGTATGTTTTAATTTGTGTGGTTGATCGTATTTTAAGGCTATGTTAACGATAATGCGTCTTTTCTTGTATTTTAAAAATAGTGAGGGTGAGAAAAGTTATAGATTAATAGAATTAAATGTAATTTTGGTTACATACTAACCTCCTCTCTACACTAAGTGCCAATCAATTGTGATGTTTTCCGGAAAACTTTGCAATAATCACGTATGTTTTAATTGGTGCTAGTTAGCTTTTGTCATATTCTATCTCTTACAAAGTTACAATACTTATTAACAAAACCTTAATCCTCCTGGTTTGTTTTTTTTTTCACTTCTCTTATAATTGTTCATCTATAATATAATATACACCACAAGGCATATAACACGGTGTCAACAACAACAACAACAACAACAACAACAACAACAACAAACAAAAAAAAAAAAATCTTATACACAAGCATCTTTTCATATTTTATTACTATTTATGATTATTTTCGTATACTTTGACATAATTTCCATAAAACTTTTCTATTCTTCTATCATATGATAATCCATATAAATTAAACCATCCCTTTATATTAAGTTTTTATTTAATTAGCTAAATTTCAATTACTTTTGAAATTTGCTTACAATGTTTGGAAGGGCGGAAAGTTTACAACCACAACCACAACTTTATAGTGATAATAGTTTCGAGCATCATCAATATGAACATCGTTCGAGCACTATAGATTCTACAAACTCTTCACCATCAGAGAACACCGGTTGCGCCTCACCATATTCTAAATCCCCATGGTCAGCCCATATGGCATTGCCAACCTCCATGCTCGAAGGTAGTTTATCAAATAATGGAGGTTATTATAATTGTCTAATGGGCTCATTGATACGAGAAGAAGGACACATTTATTCTCTAGCAACATCGGGGGACTTATTATATACCGGGACCGACAGTAAGAATATACGTGTTTGGAGAAATCAAAGAGAATACTCTGGGTTTAAATCAAACAGCGGTCTTGTCAAGTCGATTGTAATATCAGAAGATAAAATTTTTACCGGGCACCAAGATGGAAAAATTCGGGTTTGGAAAATGTGTGCTAAAAATCCAAGTGTCCACAAGAGGGTCGGAACTTTACCTACATTTAAGTCATTCATGAAGAAGTCTATTAGACCAAAGAATTATATAGAGATAGGGAGACATCGCAATGCATTGTGGATACGACATTATGATGCTATCTCATCGCTTAGCTTGAGTGAAGATCGTAACTACTTATACTCGGCTTCATGGGATAAGACTGTAAAAGTATGGCGTACATCAAACTTTAAGTGTTTAGAATCAATACCTGCCCATGATGATGCTGTTAATGCTGTTGTTGCTGGGTTTGATGGCCTCGTCTTTACGGGGTCTGCTGATGGCACAATTAAAGTATGGCGTCGTGAGGTCCAAGGAAAAGGAACTAAACATTTCTTTTCACAATCTCTATTAAAGCAAGAATGTGCCGTGACAGCATTAGCAATTGACCCAACGACCACAATCTTATATTGCGGTTCATCAAATGGACAAGTTAACTTTTGGGAAAAACAAAACTTTGCTTATCCATGTGGTACCCTAAATGGGCATAAGCTTGCGGTGTTGTGCTTAGCTACTGCAGGATGCCTGGTATTTAGTGGGTCTGCAGATATGAATATTTGTGTATGGAAAAGAGTTACTAATGAGGATACAAATATTGATGATCATATTTGCTTATCGATATTGACGGGGCATAATGGTCCTGTCAAGTGCTTAGCAGTCGTGCCAAGTGGGGAAACGTCTTCATTTGATTCAAGGTGGGTTTTGTATAGCGGAAGTTTGGATAAGTCGATTAAGATTTGGAGAATATTAGAAGAGGTCCCTGATTCAATTGTCGCCTTTACTAGAAATAATACCCGACAACATGGTAGCCTATCGTTTGCTTTTCGATGACGGTGATAACTATATGAGTCTTTTTGAACATGTCTGCTCTAAAACGTGTGTATATACTTTTAACTTATTTGATGCGCTTTTTCTCTCCTTTTGTAATAGTCTATGTACTAGATTAGCATTTGGTGTACGATAAGCTGACTTAGTATCATAATGACAAAATTTTGCGAGAATTTAGTTTTCCTTAAATACTTGAAACTTACAAGAATAATATTCATTTTGAATCTGTTGGTGCCATTGCGATATTCAATATTATTTGTCTAGTTTTATCTTTTTTTTTTTGACAACAGCTTAATAGACGAAAATAAAATTACACACTTAGGAGTAAGGTCGGTAAACTACCTAACGAAGCCTTACTAGCTCCAATGGTACCAACATTACAAATACAACTTCCTTACAAGAACTAGCCGATCTGAAAAACCAAGTAGAAGACTTCGAGCTTGCTTAAGGAGATACCAAATTTTACCATTGTTGGCTTTGTATCACTCATTCCATTGAACCTGAAAAATGGACAGAACAGCGGAGAACGCACAACTTTTGGCTGACAACAACACGAGCCCCAAAGAACACAAATAGTCTCAAATAGTAGGTAAAAAGGGTAGGAAAATGAGATGACCACGGCTTGACAACACAAACTGAGTCACTTTTACAAGTAAAAGGGACTCGATACCCTTAAATGTGGATACCTTTGATCTCTTCTCTAAGGAAGAGATCATTACCATACTAAAAACCCCTCACAAGAAACTTATGGGAGCCCCCATGTTGGAGAACAGGGTTGAGATAAAGGTTTTTCAAAGCAATGGATTGCTAAGCTGAAATGAAGGATATACCAAGGGATAACCTTCCAAAACTCTTTTGATTAAGGAAATCAAAAGAGATAACAACACACAAACAACAAGCCAAGACCAATCTGACAAACCAAAACAATCCACAAGAAACCACAAACCCCAAATTTACCCGAACCCGTGTACCAAAACACTGAAAGAAGAGGCTAACACACCCCCTAGCTCCCCTAAACCCTTGTAAAACCACAAGAGTACACACGACCAAACCCAATTTGAACAAAGAAGGTTGCATCGAAGAACATCGCACTTTTGGCAATTAAAATTAATAGCAAGAAAGCCGCAGTACATACTAAACCACAAACTTAACTCCCACAAACTGAAAAAAAGACTAATACACACCAAGAAGCTAAATCTGGTAACAGGCAGAATAAGATTAAAAAGGCTACAAAACCAAAGAAGAAACCTTAACCAAATCTTTGCCTTTATCGTCTAATTTCGTTCAATTCGAAATTACATACGGCGGCGATGAAGTTAGCTCCGATTTTAAGCCAAAACCCTTGTCAACCAAATTCGACACCCCGTAAGCAACATTCCTAATCCAAACAAGAAACAATAACCCTAACCTTTACCTTTACTGGTGACATTATCAACGACGATGATTGGGAAAGCTTTGAAAAGGACCCAAGGTTATTGTCAAATCCCACGACCCTCTGGCGTTGCCGATAACCAGCGATGACGAAGGCAAACTGAAATTCGCTTACTGCCGCATGCTTCTTTAAGAACTGGTAAAGGTCTTCAGAGAAGACTAGAGAAATTTTCCCCTAAAAAGAAACCCTAACCCTAACTTAACTCCGGGAGAATGAAGCGTATGGGTTAGCCTTGGGAAAATGTGTCTCCGAACCAGACCAAAAACGATCAAAGGGTGCTCGCCGACGACCGTAGATGAGCAGCGTTGCTCTGGCCGCCGCCGGCAATTAAAACAGGGGAAAGGTTTTTCCTTTGTCGAAAAGAGAAGGGAGAACGTTTGTTTTTTAAGAGAGAGAAAGTTTTTATTATTTTGGAGTCTTAACCAGTCTAGTTTTATCAAAGTAGCTAGTTTACCACACACATAACTGCAAAACGAAAATTCACAATTGTTAGCTTTGGTATATGCAAAAAATTCTTCATTATCATACCTTCATTTTATCTAATTATTAAAGACTATTTCCACACAAAATATCTATTCATGACTTCAATACTACCTTTCAATTGGCTGTTAGAGAATTGTCAATGGTGAGCATTTTATTTGCTCATGGGCATATTTGATGGGCAAATAAAATGCTCACCACCTACAATGGTGAGAAAATACAATAAACCCAAAAAAAGCCTATGGGCAAAATGGAAAACGCCCAAAGTATGGGCATTTTCTTTGATGAACAGTAAAGCAAGTAGGCCCCACACCAGTCAGACGCACTTAAAAAAATTTGGCTGGCCCCTTATCAAAACGAAGCGTTTTGATGAAGCAGCCTCAAAGGCGCGCCACAAAACGCGTCGTTTTGACGCTTCCAAAATAAAAAAAAATAAATTAGTTTTCTGATTGAGGCGCGTCAGTCCGTTGCCCAATAAGAGCGTGCCACGTGTCTTGCGCATCAGATTAACCAATGATAAAATACTAGCCGTTTACAACGGTAATATTATTTCTAACTGATTTTCCGAAAAATATATTTGTTAAAAAAAAAATTACCAACGGTCATAAAATTAAATTCTCTATAAATAGACATGAATTTTGATATATTTTGATATAATTTCGTAAACACTTTAAATCCTCCACATTTTTATTTTCTTAAGTATTTTAAATTTGTAGAAGAATATTTTTGTTGCAATTCACCCATATTCAGGTAATTTTTTATTTTTTTTAATATATAAATTCAGTTATGTAATAAAATTAGTATATATGTGATTTTTTGGAAAAAAAAACAAATTTTTTTTAATGTAATTGCATTATGTAATTGAAGAAAGTTGTTGATATGTTCTCCATAAATTACTAAATTTGTAGTTAATAAAGTGTTTCAATTATTGGTTAATTTTTTTTCTAATAATATATAAATTTAGTTATGTATTATAATTATTATATGTGTGATTTTTGGAGAAAAAAAAATATTGTAGGCCATGTAATGTAATTGCGTTATGTAATTAAACAAAGTTGTTGATATTTTCTCCATACATTACTAAATTTGTAGTTAATAAAGTGTTGCAATTATTGGGGTTTTTTTTTCTAATATATAAATCTAGTTATGTATTATAATTAGTATATGTGTGATTTTTTGAAAAAAAAAATATATAGTAGGCCATGTAATGTAATTGCATTATGTAATTAAACAAATTTGTTGATATTTTCTCCATACATTACTAAAGTTGTAGTTAATAAAGTGTTGCAATTATTGGTTAATTTATTTTTCTTATATATAAATTTAGTTATGTATTATAATTAGTATATGTGTGATTTTTTGAAATAAAAATAACATTGATGGCCATGTAATGTAATTGCATTATGTAATTGAAGAAAGTTGTTGATATTTTTTTTGGATTTGTTGTCATTTTAATTTGTTTTTTAAATTAATGTTTGTAAAAATATTTATCTTTTGTTTTTTGATGCAGAATCTTTTAATGGATCCAAACGACCCAAATTTCCGACAACAATTTTCGGGTTTTAGTGATGATTTCCTAACTAATCCCGAGTTTCAATTGTTCTTGCAAAGAATGAGCAATACGTCTTTGCAACCACCTCCACAGTATCAGACACCCACTCAGTTTCCCCTACAAAACCATGCTAATGAAGATCGTACACCTGAAACTGAACATGATAGCAACACACAATTCGATGAGAGCGAAGAGGAAAGCGTACCAGAGACGCCGCAGTATCCTCCACCAGTTCCCAGACTGAAATCCAACGAGGTTGCTGCACGAGCGACTCGAATTTGGTCTATTGCGGAAGATGAAACTCTGATTGGGTTGTACTTGGAGATCAGCGAGAATGCTATTAAAGGTACGAGCCAGAAAGCAACGTCCCTTTGGCACGATGTACACGCAGCATATCAAATGGCTCATGCGGAGAAGCCGCATATACTTCCGCCAAGACCTATGAAGAGTCTGACGTCGCACTAGAGAAGGTTGGCAGCAGACACACTACAATGGATATCTTGCTATGATGAAGCGGGTAGACTTCCGGAGGGAGGGAGTGGTTACAACGAAGTTGACCGTATAAAAAGTGCGTCGAAGCTTTTTCATCTCGCCCAAGGTCGCAACTTCGTTTTTCCTCACGCGGTTGAAATGCTTAATAAAGATCCAAAGTGGAGGCCAAAGCTGAGATGGTCCTTGTCAAAGAAGGAAAGAAAAGCTGCTTGTGATGTTGAGGAGCAAGGTAGTGCTGGAAGTGGGAAGAGGTCCAGAGATGATGGAGGGGATGAAACCCCTACGGATGGTTTTTCATCTGGAGGAATACAACGACCCGAAGGTGTGAAGAAAGCAAAGGCCAACCGTAAGGGAAAGAAGTAGCTTCAGAAAGTGGTTCGTCTGAGCTTAGCGAACGAATGAAGGAATTTGCTACAACTCGCGAAAGGGAGGCCATTCTGAAGGAAGAGAGGATCAAAATTGAAAAGGATAAGGAACAGAGGAAACGGGAGGAACTTGACATTCATAAGATGAGAACCATGTTTGATATGCTGCAAACTCTGAAGAATTCGCCTACGCCACTCACTCCTGAAGAAGAGTCGTACAAGATTTTTTTACTGGGTAAATTACAGGGCTTTTAAGCATGTTTGGTTGTAGTAGGTGTACGCTTGTATTAGTTAAGTTTTTAATTATGCGCAATGTAGTATTTTATGTTTAACTTGTATTAGTGGTGTGTTTAATTTCAATGTCATATGTAAACTTGTATTCAGATTTTGCAATATTGAATGACAAGTTGTATAACAATTTGATTTCAGTTGTCATTGTTACCGACATAATTGCATTCAATTGTTGTCATTGGGTAGTCACTTATTTTCTGATTTCACTTTAACTTTGGGTCATTCATACCAGCATAATTGCAATAACTCTTTGTCATTGAGTAGTCACATTTTTGTCATTGTGTAGTCACATTTTTCTGAATTAACTTTGTCAGTATGCTTTTAACTTTGTCAAGATTTGTCATTGTCAACTAGCATAGTATACCTATTCCGTGGCTGAAAATTTGATTGCTTTAGTTGGTGTGGTCATTCATATTTGTAACCACATATTCATTTGATATATTTTCTATATATAGTAGGCTTGGAACATATCCACAACCACACCAATTCAGAAAATTACAATATTAATACATGATGTATTCCAGACCATCATCAAGTTCAAGTTCAAGTTCATCTTCTTCCAATACTGAAGAATATGATCAACTCGTTGATGAACTCTTCACATACCAACCCCCATCTTTCCTCATGCCCCAAACACAATCCCAACATTCTTAAAAAACACGTAGAGGGGGTACGAATAGAAGAGATAGGGAAATGAGACATGCCAGGCTGTTTAATGATTATTTTTCCGATAATCCTATGTACAACACCACCCAATTTAGAAGAAGATTTCGTATGCAACGACCTTTGTTTTTACGTATAATGAACAAGGTCGTTGAAGGTGATGTTTACTTCCAGCAGCGTAGGGATGCAGCTGGAAGGTTAGGCTGATCACCTCTGCAAAAATGTACAGCCGCGATAAGAATGTTAGCCTACGGCATGGCTGCAGACGCCGTTGATGAATACGTTCGAATCAGTCAGTCAACCGCTCGAGTTGCCCTACAACGTTTTTGTGTCGGGGTCATTGATCAGTTCGGAATCGAGTACATGTGAAACCCTACAACTGATGAATTGGCCCGGATACTACATCAAAATGAACTGCGTGGTTTTCCAGGCATGATAGGCAGCATTGATTGCATGCATTGGGAATGGAAGAACTGTCCAACGGCTTGGAAAGCGCAGTACGCCGGTAGGAACAAGAAAGCAACGCTAATACTGGAAGCCGTTGCGGATCAGGATTTATGGACATGACATTCCTTCTTTGGTATTCCCGGATCTTGTAATGATCTTAATGTGTTGTACCGTTCACCAGTGTTCGATGAGGTTCTGCATGGTCGAGCTCCTCCGGTTAATTTTACAGTTAACGGCCATGAATACAACATGGCTTATTACTTAGCCGACGACATTTATCCGAAGTGGGCAACTTTTGTTCAGGGTATCACATTCCCTCAACTGGCCAAAGATAAAATGTTCGCTGACCACCAGGCTGCTGCTCGAAAGGACGTTGAAAGAGCTTTCGGTGTTTTGCAAGCTCGATTTGCAATAATACGAAAACCGTCACTGGCGTACGATGAGGACATACTGCGGGACATAATGAAAGCATGTATCATTATGCACAACATGATTGTTGAAGATGAGCGCCACAACTACACTCGAGCCGAAATTCTAAGAGTCTTCTACGAAGAAGATGAACAAGAATTAACACCAGCATCAACGTCTACAACGCCACCGTTTGAATTCAATGTAGGCCGACCTACCGACTTTGACTTTAACGCATTTCTACAGCAAAAAGCTTCCCTCCGTGATAGAGAAATTCATCTATCTCTGAAACGTGATTTAGTCGAACATATATGGTTACAATACAGGCCACGTAATTAGGGGAAAATTAGCACGACTTTAGGCCAAGTACTATGGCCTACCTACTTTTCCGTACGCAGTCGAGTTATTTTTTAATTGTTGTGTTTATTTTATTTCCTAAGTTTAATTACGCATGACGTTGCAAATGTAATTGGTTTCTAGTATTGTACCGCTTTTAAAATAAATAAAAACATTTGAGAAATTTTGAGATTTTTTTTACAATTATTTCATATAACGTACTTAATTTTACGACAAATTTTAACGATAAAAAAGACAAAAATAAAAAATATAAGTTACACAAATTTAAACTAGTTTTTATTTATTTGGAGTAATATTGTTAAAATATAAATGAAATTAATAAATAAAGAAGTGTTGTGTAGGAGAGAGAAAGTAATGGTGGGGTATTGAAAAAGTAAGAGAGAGAGAGTGGTGGGTGGGTATTTTTTTTGCTCACCATTGGGAGAGAAATTGTGAAAAAAATTTGCCCATGGGCAAAACTGATTTGTTGAGAGAGAAAGTGGGTGGGCATTTTTTTTGCTCACCATTGTGAGTGGTCTTATATTTTCCTCATGCATGATATAAACCTACAGTAATGGATACCGATCCTTGTGCACCAAGATGTTTGAAGATGCTAGGGTGCCGCGCGCCATAGCTAGCAGTGTTCGGGAAGATATTTCGGTTTGGCATTACATCACAACTTTAGTTAGACCATCTTCACTGGTGAGACTCAACTTTGAGTATTGAAATACAAAATGAGTTGTTTTTCTACCTCCAATGGTGATATACAACCCACTTCTCAATTTAGCAACTTATTTGTTTCCCAATGGTGAGACTCTCTAAAGTATACTAATGTCACTTTCAATTCATGGCACATCAAATCCATATTATAAGTTTTTTTTTTTTTTTTTTTTTTAAAAAAAATAAAAATAAAATTAAAGCTTAAATAAATTACAAAATATATTATAATATTGATAAGAGGCCCACACTTTTTTTGTCAAATGAGACTCAAAGTTGGGTATCTAAACTTAGCAACTTTCTTTTGGAGTTGCTAAGTTTAGATACCAACTTATTGGTATTCTTTGCAAAAAATACTCTCTCTCTCTCCACACTTAATGAAGGAAAATATGTAAACAAATATTTTTAGGGGTATAAATATCCGCACACTATTCTTAAGAGTTTAAAAAGAAACTAATTAATATAAATAGGACAATTAAGTAAATAAACATTTTAGAGGGTATAATTGTCCAAGCACTATTCATAAGAGTTATCTTATACTATTTAAAAGATAGGGATAAATGTACGCGCACTATTCTTAAGAATTTTAAAATGAACTAATTAATATAAATAGGGTAATTAAATAAATAAACATTTTAGAGGGTATAATTGTCCGAGCACTATTCATAAGAGTTATCTCATACTTTTTAAAAGGTAGGGATTAAATATTTTGGCAAGAAGATAAGCTACATTGTGGATATGTGATATTTTGTAGGATATATTAAAAGAATACTCGTATGACATAGATTGAGGTTTCTTGTCATTACCTATATAAAATCATCTAGTGTATTAATTATGAATTATCTTGGGTGCATTTAATGTTATAGACACAATATTTAGTGACACCTCGTAAAAAGTTGATTTGCGGTAAAAAATGACAATTGTTAATAAATTTGCCTTTTTATTTTGATAGTATTATTTCGGTTAATAAAAACAATCATACAACCTCTCTAGCTATACAATGAAATTTGTCCGGGTTTGTTGGTTGTGTCTTTATCACCTCTGTTAGTTTTTTTTTTCCCTTTTGTTATGCCAAATTATTTTAAAAGAACTAAAACTATATAAAAAGTATGAAAACATGTCATAAGCTAGTTCACACTAGTCGTGATCTAGGATAATTGGTCTAGTCTCTAATTCTTGAACATTGTTATGAGACAAGTCAATAATGGAAGCCCACTCCACTTCACTTGATAAGTCCTTGCATAGGCTATATATATGCATGCAAGTTGCAACTGACGTAAAATTTTAATTCATCAGATATCTTTACTACTACTTCATAAAAAAATCTCTATCTTTCTCTCATATCTCTCAACTAAGTAATCAATTTCCGATTTTTCATTTGTTTGATCCAATCTGATTTTGAAATTTTGAACCGACGAACATCTTAGCTTATACCACAAATGACAAATCTCTCCTACACAATGTACTTGGTTACAACTACAAGGGATCCATTGGTTCAAAAAACACAATTCCATGACAAAGGCCCAACAACGATACAAGAGACAAAAAATTAAATAAAATTAGCACCACTTTCAATTCACATGCTAGACACGTCATCTTCTTCCCATCATCTTCAACCCAGCAAACCTCCAAATTTTCAAAAACAGGACAACAAACAAAAAAGTGAAGACGAAAGATTCCAACTTTTAACTACGAAAGGAACCCAATTTTATTTTCTTTTTATAAAAATAATAAAAAGAAAAAGAGGGTGAAAAAAGAAAAAATAAAAAAAAATTAAAAATCCCATCTTCTCTTCATCCTAGTTTCCCAATATTCCCTCTTTTTGCTGTCCAAAAAATAAAAAAATGCTGTCTTTTTCATCTTTTTTGGGTTTCCCACATTTTCCCTCTTCTTCACCCCCACACAACCCTACACCATCACCAACTCCACTCTTCAGACACCCTCTTTGGGTTCTTCAATCTTTGTCTTTCTTTCTCTCTCCTCTTCTAGCAGGTACCTATTTTCTCTCTCTTAATATTTGTTTCTTTAATTTAATGTGATTTTTGTGTTAAAGTTTTAATCTTTTTGCCCTTTTCTTTGTGATTTATTTTGTATGTTTTTGCCTACCCTTTAATTTTCAGGTTAAGCTGTTTGTTTTTATACAGTATAGTGGTGTTACTTTTTTTGAAGTAATTATGATGAAGGTTTGTTTCTTGGTTGATTTGATTTTGGAATTGTGAGATGGGTATGGAAGAAAAGTAGAAAACTAGGGTTTAGTAAATGTAAGCTGTAAATTGAGCTTAATTTTGGAAATTGAGGGTTTGTAGATTCAAGAAAAATGTCGCCAGAAATGGGTTTTAGACCTGTTGTAGAGGATGATAGTGTGGAGGAGTATGCATTTGCTATGGAGTATAATGGCCCTCCTTTGAGCTTTGATATTCCTCGGGCAGTCCCGATAAATATTGAGAGTATACCTCTTGCTTCTGTTGTTACACAAATCCCTTACCCGGAGAAGATTTCGTTGCCTATCATAAATCCTGTCCTTGCTCCTGATGGTCTGAACAAGAACTTTTCTAGAGAGCTTAATAAAGTAGGGTCTGGTAATACGAATGTATCTCCGACCTCGGTGATAGATTTTGAGAGGATTACGAGTGTGTGTGAGCATGAGAGAGATGTCGAATTGGCCTCAGAAGCGACCCTTTCGCCAACTTCAGTTGATGTGTTTGAAAAAAGAGAGAAAAGTGGTCAGGAATGTATAGAAATGGGTGATGTATGTAGCTCGGGCACATTAGAGGATTTGAATTGTCGTGGTGAATCTGGGGATTGGTCAGGTTTGATAAATAGCTCAGCAGAGCTGGCTTCTTCTTCGATTAGCCATGAGCATTCACGTGATTTGGTAGGTAGAGGTGGAAGTTCATGCCCATCAGAATATTGTGAGAGCTTTGAGAAATTGCGAGAACTCTCAGCAGTTTCAGAGGCCTCCATGGCTTCTGGTCCTTCACAAGATAATCTAGATGCTGATGATTTGAATGGTCGTGAATGGAGCTCAACAAAGTCAGTCTTGAGCATGGAGTATTTGTCTTCCTCACTTTCCTCTTTTAGGACCGGAGAGTGCAAAAGCATGCCTCATAATGATGTTAAAAGGCCCATTGTGACATTTCGTGACTCTGATTCATATGATGATGTTGATGAGGAGTTGGTTTATCGTGAGGTTGAAAGACTCAGACCAATGAAGGAAGCTCTGCCTAGATCCAAGAAGGGGGTCTGCTATCGTTGTCTTAAAGGAAATCGATTCACTGAAAAGGAGGCTTGTATTGTCTGCAATGCAAAGTATTGTAGCAATTGTGTTCTCAAGGCCATGGGGTCGATGCCTGAAGGAAGAAAATGTGTTGCATGCATTGGATATTCCATTGATGAGTCTAAGCGAGAGAATTTGGGAAAGTGCTCCAAGATACTCAAGAGACTGTTAAATGACTTGGAGATTCGACAAATATTGAAAGCTGAGAAGCTTTGTGATGTTAATCAGCTGCCACCCGAGTACATCTGCGTAAACGGAAAGCCTCTATGTCATGAGGAGCTGCTGTTGTTACAGACCTGCCTGAACCCGCCTAAGAACATCAAACCAGGAAACTATTGGTATGACAAAGTATCTGGACTTTGGGGAAAGGTGAATATTTTCTTTTGTCTTATGGTTAAATTTTCTTCGACTTTCACTTGTTTTGCTTATCTGTGAGTTCTGCACTGTGCAATTTGTAGGAAGGAGATAAACCTTCTCAGATTATCAGTCCACATCTGAATGTTGGGGATCCCATTAAACCAGATGCAAGTAATGGAAATACCCGCGTTTATATAAATGGTCGAGAGATTACGAAACCAGAGCTGCGGATGCTGCAGGTTAGTATTCAATAAAATTTTAAGGTCTACTCACATCTAGTTAACATAGATACATTTGGTAAGTGAATTTTGTGGAATATTACAGTTGGCAGGAGTCCAGTGTGCTGGTAATCCACACTTTTGGGTAAATGACGATGGTTCATACCAAGAAGAGGGACAAAAGAACACCAAAGGCTACATCTGGGGCAAGGTATGAGAACATCTTGTGAATGTTATCTGCTTTGTTTTTGCGTTTTTATCATTTGTACTGTTATTAATATTCTGCTCCCTTTAGGCGGGAATGAAATTGGTCTGTGCTTTCCTGTCACTGCCTGTCCCCTCAAGATCTAAGAACCCTTGCACAGAAGAAGTGAGATATGATGTTGAAAGACCAATTCCTGATTATATGGAGAGATCACTCCAGAAGCTTCTTTTGGTAGGAAATAATGGTTCAGGGACAAGTACAATATTTAAGCAGGTAGTTATTCACCCCCAATTATGCTTCTATCTTGCTTATAAATCTATGTATAAATGTTCAGTTTGTAGCTGAGGAATTTGATGCTCAGTATGCATGTGTAATGTATTGCGTAATCTTTAAATCCAATGGGGCCTGTTAATTACGCTAAATAAATGACTCAGATCTAAGTATCATTGATGTGAAGTGCGTAAGTTCAGAAACACATGCAAATGCTGACTGTTTGGGCTGACGTGAATTTAAGCTTTACAAATTTAAGTTATGCATAAACTCAAAACCTCTCATATGGAAAGAAGTAATCTGAGATTTTAAATTTACGGAAATGTGGTTTCTGTTTTTGTCACTTCTCCTAAGTTGTCATCTAGGCTCTATCAGGAAACCCCCATGTAACTTTCTCATCCTACTTTCATGTTTTAGAATCTTTTCTCAGATGTTGCCCCTTCAGAAACTAAGTGAAGCCTAATTATAGGGAAGGAGAATAACCACTGGTTGATCTTCTGTATCCTCCTGTAATTCTATGTCATTATGTTTTCTAGCTAAATGTGCATAAACTTTAATGCAACTGCATAATAATTGGACGCGCAAGTTCCCATAAAATATGTGTAATCTAAGTTATCTAACACTAACAGAAAAACGGTTTTCCTGTTCATGGTAATTATTTCAATGGTTTTGACTATTGACTTTGACAATATCAACCATAATACTGCCGCTGCATGGTTAACAATCTCAGAATTCAAGGTATTTGTCAGCTTGATTTCATGAGTGATCTGACGATGCTTATAGATACTAGTGTACGTAGAAGAACTCGGGACTGCAGTATTAATGAAAAAGTTAGATAAATTCCTAAGTTTTTTTTAATACTTCCTCTGTTTCTATTTTGTTGATGCGTTCAATTTAGGCACACATATTAAGAAGAGGAGAGAGAATGATAAAGCAAATGGGGTAAACTAGTAATTGCAAAGTATAAAACTTACCCAAAAAGGAAACGTGTCAATTAAAAATAAACTTCCTAAAAAGTTATACGTGTCAACTAAAAAAAAAATGGAGGTAGCACTTCGTACATTCTTGTCGGGCTGTGAGTTTTATAATACTTTGTATATACATGTTGGGATGTACAATAGAGTGGACCAAATTATTAGATGAGATGAGTGTTAAAAAACTTATCTAACAAGGACCCTTTTTTTCTGAATTTGTTAGAGAGAGGATAAATACTTTTACGTTTTGATCCGTCATCTGTTTAATTTGCTTAGCACCGTATTATGGTGTTTGTCAGATGGAAGAACTTTCCTGTCTAAATTATGATTGTGTTTTAAGAGTATTTATTATTCTTGCTAATTGTTTCTATATAATTGTTTCAGGCCAAAATTCTTTATAAAACTTCACCTTTTTCTGAAGACGAGAGAGAGAAAATCAAGTTGATGATCCAGGGCAATGTTTATGGTTACCTTGGGATGCTCCTGGAAGGCCGGGAGCGCTTTGAAGAAGAAAGTTTGATGAGCCTGCCTGAGTGGTCTTCTGATACAGTTTGCCAGCAAGGTATTGTTCTCTTTGTATGACTGTTGGACCACATATATATCCTCCATCCTGTCTGTTTTCTGGTCTTGTAGAGGGGGGCTGAATCAGAGATCTGTGGAATCTAATGTCATTTATTTATCATTGGCAAAGAGATCTTTTTCACACCCTTGGAATTACTTGCTGAACAATAAATTCTGATTTTCAGAGAGGAGTACTCAAGGGAGTGATGAGATGACTATCTATTCCATTTGCCCAAGGCTGAAAGAATTCTCTGATTGGCTTCTTAAAACAATGGCATCTGGCAACTTGGAAGCTATTTTTCCAGCTGCAACTCGTGAATATGCCCCATTGGTTGAGGAGTTGTGGAACACTTCAGCCATTCAAGTCACATATAATCGAAGAAGCGAACTTGAAATGCTGCCTAGTGTTGCTAGTTATTTTTTGGAGCGGGTAAGTTTATGTAGGTCCTTGACCTTATTCAGTGTGATTTAAACAATACATGCAAGACTATATTTATAAATGCATCTTGCTCGAACCTGCTGTTGTGGATGAAATATCTCAATAGGCTCTCACTATTATTAACTTGCTTCCATGACTTTTGAACTTGCTTAAGTAAGGCCATCAACGAAAAGAATAGTTGACTAGCCTCCTTGTTGATTATCTTTTTCATTTTCTTTTCTTCAGAGGAGGTTGCCGGTAGAAAGAGTATTAAAGAAGTGCAGTTGTACTAAAGTATATGATATGAAAGAAAACTTTCTTCTTTGTTTGGTTCTTTTGTGGTCCTTTTGGTGTAGGTGCTAATTACGTTATTTATTTTCCAATGAATAGCTGTTAATTAAGTAAACACCAGAATATGAATTGCAGCCAATTGTCTATTTTCTGAGAGCTGGACTATTTATATTCTACTATTGGTAGCATTAGTCTTATCTCAAACAAGTCCTTGACCCTCCTTGTGTCCCCAGCTGGTTCTTGGTTTGTTAAAAGCAAACGGAATATGATAATGGTATGAGAATTAAGGTTGAATCTTGTGATGATGTGTTACTTTGAACGAGGGCTTAAAAGTTCACAGTGTTAGCATCCTGTTGCTGTGTTGGGTTAGCTGGTGCAATAAATTAGCTGAGTAAAAAGAAGGCAAGAAAATCTTGGGACATTAGCTTTTTACAGGTTCTGTTACTTTTTTTAATCTAGTATTACCTCGATAAGTGCAATAAATTAACTAGGTAAAGGAAGGCAAGAAAATCTTAGGACATTAGCTATTATTAAGTGCTATTACTTTTTTTAACCTATCATTGTTAAGCATGTAGCCTATAAATACACGTTAGCTGTAAGAAGTTTTGCCATGCTTCTACAGGTTACTAAGCTGGCCACTTTTTTCTCCCAGTAATTATGATGAATATGTTTTAGTCGATTTGTATGTTTTGTAAGCTTTCTTAGACTTACTAATGTGAATGTGTCTCTTTATTTAGGTTGTTGATATTCTGCAACCAGATTATGAGCCATCAGATTTGGATATCCTTTATGCTGAAGGAGTTACCTCATCAAATGGCCTAGCCTGTGTGGAGTTCTCATTTCCGCAATCAGCTGATGATGACATTGACTCTACTGATCAACATGGTTCTTTGCCTAGGTAGGTCTCCCTCATATGTACTTCAAGGTTTGGGGTAGCGGTTACTAGTAATTAATGAACTGTAGCTAGTTTTGTGTTGGGCTAGTTGGCGGTTGCTAAGCTCGTCTTCCAGTTGAATATTCTTGTCAAAGAGCTCTAAGATTATGTTGTGTTGGGCCAGTTGGCTGTATAAATCTTTTCCATTCTCCAGAAAGAGTCACACTTCACAACAATAATGGTCTGGCTCCTAGAAGGATGGGGTCGGCTACACAGACCAAGATGTCATTCCATTAATCAGTTTACATCAATAAAGAGTGGCTGACAGTCTACTACATTTGTCAACTGAATTATTTTTCCGTATCTATTTAGTCTTTCTATTGTTTCCTTTGTTTACCAGATTTGTAACTGAATTCTTTTGTGCCATATTTGTGTATTTTAGCAGTGTTTGATGTTGCTCTTAATTTTGATTGTCAAAATAGGTACCAGCTGATCAGAGTACATGCAAAAGGCTTTGCAGAAAACTGCAAATGGTTAGATATGTTGGAAGATGCGAGACTTGTGATATTTTGTGTAGCACTGACAGACTACGACCAGTTCTCATATGATAGTGAGGGGACTCCAGTGAACAATATGTTGCAGAGCAAAAAACTCTTTGAAAGCATTGTTACTCATCCAACCTTTGAGCAGATGGACTTCCATTTGATTCTGAACAAATTTGATCTTTTTGATGAAAAGATTGAACAAATTCCACTTTCTGAATGTGAGTGGTTTGAGGATTTCCAACCTGTGATAAGTCAAAACAGCAAGAGCTTCAGCAGCAGCAGGAGCAGGAGTATCAATCATAATCCTTCGCTTGGGCAGTTGGGTTTTCACTATATTGCCGTAAAGTTCAAGAAGCTTTACTTTGAACTAACTGGCCGGAAGTTATTTGTGTCATCAGTGAAGGGCCTGGAGCCTGACAGCGTTGATGCTGCCTTAAAGTATGCAAGAGAGATTGTGAAGTGGGAGGATGAAAGAATTAATTTTAGCTTGAGCGAGTACGCGATTTACAGTACGGAGGCCAGCTTTTCATCTCACTAAATCTTACTTAGTTGAAAAAGAATTTCTTGTAAAGAATTTTATATTCTTATTCCCAATTGATAGTGATCAGCTGATGTAAATATGCGGCGTGCAAATTACATAGAAGAATTGAATAGGTTGTATGAACTGACAATGTCCATATATTTTTACTACTAATTTCTGTAAAATGTAAACAGAAAGAACCAGCGGTTCTTGTGTAACTTATTTGGTTCCTGAAAAACAGTCAATTTGTTGAAATCTTTTTAACAATCACTGTCTCAATTGATAGGCATTATTCGATTTTTGTCGACATGTCTAACCAACTTTGACAATGATCTACAGGTATAGTAATTGATGGGCATTATTTGATATTCGTGGACAAGTTTTTTACCAACTTTGTCAATAATCTACAGCAAACTTAGATGTGAACAGAATTAGTGAAGGGTTTGTATTGTAGAATACCCAAAGTAAACAGATTATAAATCTTAATCACATAAGTCAAATATGCGTTCTACTTTAGTATAGGAGTGAGTATCACATTTTTGCTGTGCTAATAAAACGAAAAGAAATCAGCAGGGCAAATGGGCAAGTGGGCAACCCACGGAATATCTTTATTTACATGTATTGATGTATATGATGTCTGAACATGTGACATTCAGTTACAAACAGGTGATTTGTGCTCACCTACTTTTATAAATTTTTATGTATCAAAATTTTGTGGCAAAGCCAATTCAAAACAACTACTTTATACATTGTGAGCCAGGAAAAAAAAAACAATTAAAACTCATTTATCATCAAAAACGTATCGAGCTTGTTCATGTGTGCCTAGCAAAATATTCTTGGTAGCCCAACTCAAATCTAACATTTGTTTATGCAGTGTGTTAAGGTTTGACTGCGCAAAACTCTTACTATCTTGAGACAACTCCAACCACTTCATGATATGTGAATTTGAGATATGGAAATCTTCTATGACATTCTTCCACTTGCTGCTGCATGAAAGAAGTGTCTGACGAATGTAGCATGCCTGCAAGATATAAGAACCATTACTAGTTTTCTGGTGAATCTGATCAAGTTCCAAGGCCTTTGGCTGAGGCTATCCCAAAAGCTAAGCACACAGGCTGAGCGTGAGCCGGGTTGTGTCGGCCCATTTACCACCATAAGCAATTTCCATTATTTATAGATTGACCGAGCCAACTCAAAGGCTGCCATACTGGTCTTTGCAAGGTGCGGTCAAGACACAACCCATTGGGCCATCGGGGGGGGGGGGGGGGGCTTGTTCTGTGCCGTGCCAGGCCATTTGCTTGCATGGCCCACAGGCCACAGCCACCTTTAGAACAGGACAGGATAGGGTGGGGGAAAGGAAAAGAGCTGAGAAAAGTCTACCTGCAACAAACCCATAATGATATCCTCTGTTCTTGCACCTTCTCTTAGAGAAAGAAGAATTCCTTGCTAAAATGCGTCACAGAAATAAAAAAGGTTAGACAGGTCATCATATACAGGATGATGCCATAAAAAGAGCAAAGGAATTATTTTTTTTGTCAAATGCACTCACTTTTCCAGATCTTAGTCCATAGCAGGTTTCTAAGCAGATGAAATAGAAATCCTCCCTGCTCAGAGAGTTCATTGTCAACATGGTCAGTCCAGGTATCTGTCTCTTGGGATCCAAGCAACCAATTCTAATTGGCCAATCTCCTTTCTTTCTTCCTGTTTCAACCTCATGAGCTTTAGATAATTAAAGCTACATTTTGTGTCTTTTGGCTACACTTTAACCAATGATGCTAATAAGAATCAAACTCACCAGCCTCCAGAAGGTTAATTCCTTCCAGCTTGCTTACTTCAGCTGGTGATGGGACATATCCACACTGAATCCATTTGTCGAGAATCAGCTCAAGCCTATCCTGAAAATGAATCTCAAGTTAGATACTTTCTTTATATCCTATGATAGATGAGCAAAGTCCTTTATCTGATAACACAACAGTCTCGCATAGGGTGGATGCTACCATTGTCCTAAGGAAAAATTGCACAGTACAACACAGATTCTCTAGATTCACATTATCATTTATCTCTACCATTCCTCAACTCTCTGGTCCCTCAAGTAAAATACAAGGCAAGTGACATAAGCACTTACCTATAAACACTATCTCACGTTCCCCTGTACCCCAAAATAACGAAAAATGAGTGACGACGCAATGATGCCTAGTACTTAAAAAAAGATCTACTAATTATGAAAGCCTAACTTCATGCATACAAGAAAATGAATAACTTTTGGGGGAGGGGGTAGAAAGAGCCATAGCCCAACCTTGGTTAAAGTCTGCAGATGCACATGCTTCAGCGATTGGTAAATTCCACACAAGTCAATTGCTGAGAATATGGGGTATACCACAAACGGCAAACCTGCTTGCAATCTTAAGTAGCATTACTTAAATTGGTTAGTGCTATACATTATAGATAATATAAAAAAGAAGAGGACCAGAAGATAAAGAGCTTTATACTCGATGGACAAAGTTAATGCAAAAGGAATCTAGTGACAACTGACAAAATTAATCAATACAAAACATGAAAATCACAAGTCCTAAAACATGCAGAACAGAGGAGATAGAAAATCTCATCTTTTGTGAGGGATTTGCAGATGAAATTTAGTATTCACATGTTTTGAGAGGAATCTAAGTGATGTTTTGAGAGAAATCTAAGTGATGGATAAAGACATAGATACAGATCAAATTTAATTTTAGTCATCCAGAGACATAGTGTGGAAGGAGAGAAGGGCTAATGCCTTAAACAAGGACTTCCTTTTTTGAATTTCACAAGATTAGAGAACCATTTGAACTTCGCCAACTTTATATTGAAACTTCACGTACAAAATTCTACAAAGAACAGAATGCGACAGCATTATGATGGAGGGTCAAACCTTTCATTATTCTTGAGCATAACATTTATTAATGCAGCCAATAGAAGACCCAAGTTATCAAAGCACACTGTTTGGATCTGAAACCCATAAGAAACATCAGCATATATATAAGGAAGTGTATAGAATAAAAGGCATCATCTCACATCACAACCAACCTGGGCTTTAGCAGAAACCTCACCCAAGTTATCAGCTAATGCGAAACTCCGATGTACGGCTGTCTGGCAATGCATTGAACAAAGTTATATTTCCACATGATGAACTAGAATAACATTGATATGTCTAGGAAAAAAGCCAGCACTTAGGTACTTATTATTGCTGAAACAGACTCCTAAGAAGAGCGATGCAAATGAAATGGCTAAAAGAGAATCTGAAGTGGAGTAAGACTACAGTCTCAAGAGCATATAGAATACAAAGTATACAGAAAGCAATCCTCAATTCACTCAGTTAGATGAGCTTTTCTAGGCAGAACCATAATATAACCCTTGAGACAGCTCTTAACACCTAATCACATTGAACGCCATAAATCATTTACCTACGGCACAAAAATTTCAAGGCACATCAGACAAGGCTGTCCCAGTTTTTAAGTTGAAAGTCTCAAGGGAACTTTTAGAGTTAGATTTGTTCATCCCCTGTATTATGATCTTAAAATCAAAAGGTTTATTCTCTGAAGCCATAAATAAAAATTTCTCGAAAAGTTAATATAGACCAATAAGTGAAGAAACATAGCAAATGAGAAATTAACCTTCTAATTGCAGCATTAAGTATACGAAACCTAAATTTTTATAACGAGTTCATTAAGCTCATAAGTCATAAGTAGTTCTGATTCCAGCAGCAATAATAATCCAACAAAATATAGAATTGAAGCATATGTTGAGGGTGGAACCTTACACCAGTTGCCAGGTAGCATGCCAAGCTTATCTGTTTAGCAATGTTGGCCACGGAAGCAAGCAGCAAGAAGCAATTTGGAAAAGCAGGGGTCATCAACTCAACTCCAATGCTTAAGCTGAACATAACTGAAGTCGCGAACCTTACTCTCTTCAACAATTCAGAAAAGATCAATATAAGTGATCTGCATATGAAAGTGAAAGAGAATACTCTTCATTCACTTAACTGTTTTTAAATTTAGAATTCAAAAGCAAAATCCAAAGAACCCACAAACTTCAGTACATAATACTAATTTTGCATCTATCCTTTCCCCCTTACATAAGATAAACACACGTATAACATAACCATAAGCTTATGATGATTGCAGCTTAAATGAAAACTGACATAGTGCTCAAACAACTAGTAGAAGAACATAACACAAACTTGGAATACCTTCAAATTCGTATCGAAAGCTGAACCTACACAAGCTGTATAAATGCACCTACTCAATCTACCAAGTCCATCCTTCAACACCCAGTTCATAGCTGCAGCAGACGGAAGAGACTGAGCATACCCTACTCCAATTGCTCGAAACATCGCCTAATTTCATCAAATTACAAGCAGCTCAGCAAAATAGAACTAATCAAATTCAATGATAGCTTCTATATAAACAACACCATCCCAATTCACTTGAAATGCTACCTAGTGTTGCTAGTTATTTTTTGGAGCGGTTAAGTTTATGTAGTGCCTTGACCTTATTCAGTGTGATTGAAGAAGTACACCAAAATAATGCAAATCAAAATAAAATTTACCGAATTCAAATAATAAATATACCTGTGTTGCAAGAACTTGAAGGGAAGAACTAAAAACTCGATGCAAAAACTTCCATTTGACATACTCAATATAATTCTCAGTAACTAGCTTTGGTATGAAAAAATCCCTCAAAATCTTCACAAAATTTCTAATACCCACTTCAAAACTTTGAACAAAAGTTAGTGGGTCCCCATCATCAACACAAACAAGCTCCAAAAAACCCTCATCCCAAAAATACTTATAATTCCTCCCATTTTTTCTAATTATAACAGGGAGGCCAATTTTTGAAAAAAATTGGTGCTTTTTGATAAAGGGTTGCTGAGAATCTGAATTTGGGGTGGTGGTTTTGAAGGTGGAGGAGAGAGAAAATGTTTTGAAAGGGGTGGTGGGATTGGCATTGAGGAATTGGGGATAGAAATTTCTGGGAAGAGAAGGGTTCCATGAAAATTGAAATGATCGTAAATTTGAAGGGATTTTTGTGGATGATAGCATAAGATTGAAGAATGGTTTTAATGGTGATTTTGAGGGTGAAAGATTCTGTGATTGTTCAGGCAGAAAAAGCTGTTCTTTCTTCTTGAGGGTTTAGGGTTTAAGCGTTGTGTGCTTGTGTCAAGAATTTCAGATAACAAGTTAACGGGAGTGATTTCTATAAGTTGCTAAAAAAAGAGGAACATGGGAGATGTAGGGATCCCCCCCAAGTGGCTGGGGTTCAATCCTCATCTCCCCATTTCTGTGATAGAATGGGGGGACCTCCCCATATCTAATAAATAAATAAATAAATAAATAAATTGCTAAAAAATAATTAAATTCCATAATTATGTCACATTTTATCAATATTTCAGATATATCGTCCGTATCAACACAAATTATTTTTTCTCGAGTTCACACTAAAACCACTAATTGAGTATAAGATGTTTTCTCTAATTCAATAAGCGGTTTTACTCTTAATGAAACCGCTAATTCAATTAGTGGTTTATTAAGAGTAAGAATACTAAATTGAATTTTGGTATATATGTATTATATTGCTAATTGACGTGGACAACATGCAGAGAATTTTTTTAAAATGTAGCGTACTTGAGGAAGTTAGCTATTTTCAAGCATTTTCTATGGAAGTCACTTCTCATCATGTCATTTTTTTTTTTTTTTTTTTTTTTTTTTTGGAAATGCTTTCATCTCTCATGTCATATGCTAGCAATAATAGATGGATGTTTACAAAAGTTAGTTGATTCTTTTTCTCACGACTTTTACTTATTGAGATTATTACAGTTAATGGTAAAACTTATCTCTATCGATACATTATTGTATTTGATATAGTCCTCCATATTTAATTTGTTGTATTTTTAATGATTAAATCATTAAAACGGGTCTAGCTAATTAAAACTTATATTCTTCGATGTTTTAATTGCAACAGACTAGTTATGATCATTTATAGCTAAATAAAAATATAGTCATGTAAGATCAATTTTGATAGATTCGTCGTCTCGGTTTATCCTTTCATCATTTTTTTTAACACATTGGTGATTGAAGATATTAGTGATTGAATTGATGCATTATTGACAGTCGTGAAATGGAAAGTGTATAATTAGGCCGTGCATGAAAGAGGTGTGAAAATGAGCATAGCACTTGGTAGATGGTGCATGTAGAAGGTGTGGAGTTGAAGATGAGCAGGGATTGGCCAGTATGGTTATCATAGAATGGTGTCATAAATCACCCTCAAATGTAGAAGGTGTAACAAACAAGAGTAACATAGGCTGTATTGGCTGTTGGGGTGTCAATTCGGGTAAATAGTTTGGGTTTGGATTAGGTTTATCAGTTTTGGGTTATAACGGGTTGGTTTATAACGGGTTGAAATGGTTAGCGGGTCGGTTTTGAAAATCATTGGTTCAGTTCGGTTTGTTTTTTTTTTTATTGTGGTTTCTATTTGGGTCGGGTCCTAATTGGGTCGGGTTGTAGTTGGTTCGAGTCATAATCAGTTTGGGTTGAACCGGGTCGATTTGAAAACGAGTTTAGCTAGTTTAAAGTGGATTTTTGTTCAAAACAGTTCCGGGTCTAATCGGATTGAGTTGTAATCGGTTCGGGTCATAATCAGTTTAGGTTAAACCGGGTCAGTTTGAAAATGGGTTTCGGTTCAAAATAGATTGGGTGAAATCGGGGGTCCGGTCATTATCGGTTTAGGTCATAATCGGTTTGAATTGAACTTGGTTGGTTTGAAAAAGGGTTTACCCAATTTGAAGCGAGTTTCAGTCCAAATCATATTGGGTTAAAATCGGGTCAGATCATTATTAAGTCGAGTTAGTCAGATAATGGGTAAGAACAGGTCATGTTATAATCAAGTTAAGTCTAAGTTGGGTTTATCGAGTAGTGGGTTGAAACGGATCAGATCACAAACATATTGGGTTACTAGTTGTAAACGGTTACGAGTCATAACGGGTTATTGGTCGTAAACGGTTCGGTCTTAACGGGCTACGGGTCGTAAATAGTTCGGTCTCAACGGGTTACAGGGTGGAAACGGTTCGATCATAACGAGTTATGGGTTATAAATGGTTCGGTCACAACGGGTTACGGGTTGGACTGATTCAGGTTTATCGGATTTTTGTCGGGTTTAAACGGTTTTCGGTTTAAAATGGGTCGGGTTACTATCGAAGTTCCGACGTAATTGGTTCGGGTTGTTTTCAGTTTCGAGTTGTAACAGTTTGGCATGATAACAGGTCGGGTTAGTAACGGTTCATACAAATTCGGTTCAGTTTAGTTTCGGGTTAGAAAAAATTGGGTCGGGTCGGTTTTCAGCTTTCAAAAAACGGGTTTTTAATGGTTCAGTTCCTTTTCGGATCGGTTCAAAATAGTTGGGTTTAACGGTTTGGGTCAAAAACTGACAGCTCTAATTGACTGTACACATATTTCTGTTAGGAGTATTGCTGTATTGATGATGTGGCTAAGTTGGTTATAAATTTAGTAATATTTTGTTATAAAAAGAGAGGCATTCAGAAAGTATAGGGGCAACGCTTCCAAACGGAAGGTTGTGAGACAATAAAGCCTTATCTTGTAGGGGCAATGTAGTCATTTTAGGCATTATTTTAGAGATGTCTTATTGAATTGTCAAATAATACCATTGTAGTTTTAGTGATACAATACCAAATACACTCTTAGACTCTCAGTGTTACATAAAAAATTTTCATTGGAGTTTTAATGGAACAAAATATAGATTTAGTGATAGTGATCTCCATAATTTTTTGTCAATTTTGTATGTGAGTATATGTTTGAAAAATATTAATGACTTCACATCACGTTTTTCACTTTTTATATCTCTCTCTTCCTTGTACCTTTATATTTTTATAGTAGTTGTGAGACAGTGAAATTGTTTCACAATACTTCCTCGCAACCCTCATTTATCTCCTTCATAAAGGAGAAGTGTTAATCTAGTGGCATAATAATAAATAAGTTGAATATAAAAAGGGGAAAGTTAATTTTTTTTTTGTTTGGTAAAAACAAGTTCCTGTTCTTCTTCTTGAATGAAAGTATGAAACCATCTCCTCCTCCTCTTAATTGAAACCCATCAGCCATCAGCCATCAGCCATCAGCCATCACATCCACCACGGCAGCACCACTACTACCTTCCTTCGTCATCCCGTTAGAGAAGGTATGTACTTTAATGGAGAACATGATTCTAACAAAAACCCTAACACTTTATAGGTTGTGATAAGTTCTCTCCCCTTTATTGATTTCACCATTGATGCTTGTGCTTTCATGAATCCATGGATAAATCACTGTACCATTGACAACTTTGATTTTACAAATGTAACCCCCCTCCTTGTTTTTTGAAAGAAATTTATAAAGATATAAACTTGAATTTCTTCCAAAGTATGTATGCAAAATGCCATGATTATCCCTTAAAAAAAAAAAAAAAATGCCATGATTATTTGTAATTTTTTTTTTTAACTCAATCTTCTCTTGAATTTACTTTACATGATTCTAGTTTATTGCAGTGTGTTGTTGTATTTGCTTAACTCAACAGTGGTTTTTTGGGATCCAAGTTCAAGTCTAAGAGTCAAACTACTACACAAGAAGTTTGGGGTGAATGAATGTCTCTTCCTTGGCAACAGTAGAAGAACATAAAGTTATAAGTCGAGCTCCTTCCTTCCTCATGTAAGGCTCTATTTAATGCAGAGTTGATAAGTGATATTTATATCACTTTGAAGGGTCTTTTTCTTACGAGTATATATGCTCTACTAACATCTCTATTTTTCCTATTTTCTTTAATTGTTCCTTGATTTGAATATTTTTGTAGTTTTTAGTTTAATTTTATAACCTTTTTTTTTTAATATTTTTTTTTTTAAAAATCTCCTTTATTTTATTTTGATTTTTGTCCCGATTTATTTCTCCTTGTGTTTAATGTTGTAGCACTTGATGTCGTGTGTTGGTACGTGATGGGAGTTTGTATATAGAACAGACCGAAACAACCTTGCTTCAGTGGCATCTGGATGACTTGCTGCAAGGATTCCCTAATTTAAGACCTGGGGTTCCTCATTCCCTGGTTCAAATAGGCCATGTTAGTTTTGGACTGGAGGAAGTAGCTACAAGAGTTTACTCAGCTGACGCGGAGTACATGAACTCTTTGCAGGTGTAAACTAACTTGATCTTAGTACAGAGTAAGTGATACATGCATTGTACTTTTCTTTGTTGGTAGTTTCATTTCATCTGTTGTACTTACTGACTTCCTAACTATTTTAGGTGTTTGTTACAGAAATGACAGATGTTTGTGCACAATGCAAGACATGGAGAAAAAAGCAATACTGGAATGCATTTCCTGATAACAAACACCATTTTTTCAAGATTATGCTAGGAGACTTTGAGAGCTATCTGGTAAATTAAATAATTAAAATTTAATGTTCATTTTAATAGCAAACATTTTGTAACTCCAAAATGTTCCCACAGAGAATTCCGAGGAAATTCAAAGACGAGTACAAGGAGAAACTATTACAAAGGGTGACTCTTAGAGGACCAAGTGGAGACTGCTGGACAGTGGCGCTTGCACAAAGAGGAGAGGACATTGAGCTGAGAAATGGGTGGCGAGATTTTGTTAAGGACCACAGCCTAGAAGAAGGAGATTTTCTAGTCTTCCAGCATGTTGAAAATTCATTGTTTAATGTGCTGATGTTTGATAAAACTGGGTGTGAGAGAGAGGACTCTCACTTTGTTATACAAGATAGGGACATACGTGCTGAGAACTGTTGCTACATGCGCGACAATAAAACAGATAGACCTTCAGTGTTTGCTTATGATCAGCAAAGATTTGAGGAGGACGAGGTGGTGCATGACAAGATGGATGACGATGAAGAGGAGGACGAGGATGAAGAAATCCAACAAGAAACTATAGGTAATAAATTGAGAAAAGTTAGGGAAAAAAAAAACAGTTAGAATCAAAATGGTTATTAAGCTCCTTACCCCCCCCCCCCCCTCCTTTTTCTCACATTCTTCTGCAATACAAGCCATTAACTGCAGCTAATTTTTACTTTTTACCTCGTTCAAGGAACAGGAAAAAATTCACGGACTGGGAAAGGGAAGTGCTATGAATCGAACAGAAGACCGTTAACAAAAAAGGATAAGGAGAGAGCTTTTCGTTTGGCTTCCAAGCATTCAACGACACGACCTTCTTGCAAGATCAGGATGAAGCAGAGCCATGTTCACCATTTATTTATATTGGCATGTCTTTATACCCAAATTCTGGACTTCTACGTAACTTCATTGTTTACAGCTAATAAAAGAATAAACAATTGGACTAATTAGACATTTTATGATGCAGACAATCCCAAGGGAGTTTGCAGATAACTGCCTTCCCATGGTGTCTCAAGAAATTAGGCTGAGGGTCGGTTCCAAGATCTGGCGAGTTAGCCTTAACCGTAGGAATGTTCAATGCACACTGAATAAAGGGTGGGCACATTTTGTGCTTGACAACAACTTGGAAACAGAAGACTATTGTGTTCTAGAGCTGGCAGATACAGGGACAAGCCGACAGCCACTTACCCTGGATGTTCACATATATCGAGCTGTGGAAAAAATAGTTCCTTTGAAAGTAATTTTGCCTTGACTATTAATGTTATCTGCAAAAAGATATAATAGTCAAAAGGTTTCGTAGCCTTTTCAGCAACTAATTGTATTCTCTTAAAGGTAATAATTAGGTCACTCATGGAGATTTCTAGCAATGCAATTCTAACTGTCAAAAATTGTAATCGAATTCCTTGCGTGTATAATCATCAGCATAAATGTACAAGAAACCGGTCTTTTTAATCGTTAGAATTAATAAACCATACCTGACAGGATGCTTCTGATGCAGGCAATGGGGCTGAAAGATACATTTTATTGAATATTGGGAAAGTGAATACCTTCTAAGAGTAGATACGCCATTGCATGATTCAGAAGACAGAAGACTGCCATCCTTCTAATTACGTTACTTCAGAGATTAGGCCATTTTTGCATAAGATGCAACTTCTCAATGTGGATGGCGTGTATCATTCACTGCTGGACAAGCGAGATAAAAAGGACCCTCCAGATTTATGGAGCATAGAAGGAAAAATACCGGAGGTCACTTATACAACATACTCATCAGCATTGACAAAAGTACAGCTATATAGCCTGTATGACCTTATAGGCAGATTTTCAGAAATGATTACAAGTAAATAAAATAAATTTGACGGATCATAGATTGTCATGAGTAAGATGAATGATAAAAACAATAGTAAGAGGTTACTGAATAGCACAGTAGTAAAATCATGGGAGAACAAACTGATACAAAAGTCTTCATAAACTGATCAGGTAATTTGTCTGTGTACAGTCACAGGCAAGATCTGAATAAACAACAAATTGGAAAGATACAATGAGAGTAGTACCAACATCTTGATGTGCGGAGTTTTAGCAAGGCTGACTTATACCTCAATAACATTGCTGAGTTTTGTTACTTCTTGTTCTATTTTGTTAACAACTTTATAGAATCGGCGTCTTGATGTAGGCAGCCTAGACAATGTCAAGCAAAGTCCTTGCAATCTGAAACAATTTGCAAATGAAGTTATACACATAACAAACAGCATGTGGGCAGAACAGAAGAAAAATATTAGTACCAGAGTAACTGAGTATAGCTAGAAATATTTCCCCTTTACACCTACCTTCTACTTATACCCTCCAGTTGAGCCTTCTTGATCCCATCAGAGGGAGGAATTCCTCCATTCTGCCAGGCCTCAATTTTCTCAATATCACCGGCATATAGACAGTGTTTGTAGAAATATAACTCTTCTGTTTCTGTTAAATTCATATGCCTAACTTGCTCTTTCATGACACACATAGGTTCATAAAGCCAATCAAAAATCCTTCCCTCCGGTCTGTTCACTCCCATTATTTCAACATTATCGCCTATTAAGGAAGAAAAGCAACACAGAAGAAATGAAGTCAGTAAAGAGAAACCACAATAACCGAAAAATGGAAAGCATAGAAGTCAAGCAAGTTTCTCTTACGGATGATAAAGCCAGCAGAACCACTCTTGATGGATCTGAGGAAGCACTCAAGGAAGACATATGCTGGTATACCAATGTTAACAATCTTATTTTTTGAGTGCTTCCAACTTTCCAAATCCTGCAGTCCAATGGCTCTAGCTCGAAAAAGTTCCACACCTATGTCCTCATAAGCTTTAAAAAGGTTGTCCCATATCTAAACAGTCATAATGCAATGCATAACAATTAATTAATCTATGGCGGGAGATAGAGACAGTTTAATAGTTTACATATGAGTAAGAAAACTGAAATGGACATGCCATAATTATTATTAGATCAAGTGCTTTAGATATTTACAAAGTTCTTACCACTTTCGCCTGAAGTGGGTTTGCTTCATCAGAAAGTTGTGTAATCAAAGGTTCTTCTGCATCAGGCTGTTTACGGAGTTCCTTCAATGGCATCGGATCTGGACCAGGGTTGACAATATCACGATATCTAGGTCTGGCTTCCCAAGTACAGAGAGGCTTTCATAAGGTTGCCAACATGATTTTATCAAGTACGCAACTATGCTGGCCAATAAAAGAATAATAAACTGTGCACCTGTTGTATGCAAGTAAAGATTCAAATCGTTCAGTAATTCAACTGTTCCATATATATATACTCAAAAACCACCTTTTATGCATCAAAATTATGTTGAGGTTTTGTTTCTACTTTTCATCATTTTCTCTACAATGTTGTTTTAAAACGAGGAGGGGGAATGACATCTATGAGAAAAACCAATGAAATTCAAAGCATATCAATATATATACCTAGGATAGCAGGAACCTTCTCGTAGATATAGTAAGTCGTTTGTGTACTCATCATATATGGATGGAGAAGCAATTACATATAGTATTCCTCTTTTTGTTAAATTCTCCTACAATTCACAGAAGAGAAAATAATGTGGGAGTCAGTCAGTCAGAGATGTTATAGTATCAGAATTAACTAAAATGAAAGCAAGTACAAAAACACAGAAAAAAAAGGAAAATGCTACTCCGTATTTAATCACTAAGTTTATATGATCTACCTCATACGCAACAACTGCAGCATAACATCCAAAACCTAAACTCGAAAGGATACCAAGCAGCATGGCAATGAATGCCACGACCGGCCACAAGAGAATCCAAAGGCCAGCGAAAGGAACACAAATTGTTTCCAGAAATGGCCCTTCCCTTCCTATGAGATCTTGTATCAAGCGTTGCCAACCTTTGAATAAAAGTATCGGAGTTTTATAAATAGTTATTAACGTAATGATTGGGATATCAACAATAATCCCAAGTATGGCTGATAGGAGACATCCTGGTAACACAGTTACCCTGCAAGGTAATATCAGAGTCATGATGAAAACGAGATTAAATCCTAGCAATCAGGACATCAATATAAAAATAAAATGAACAACATCACATCATTCATATAGAACTAAGTCATGAGATCATATACGAACATATATACAGATACAAGGTGATGCACTAACATACGCAAAGGCCCAAAACTGTTGGAAGACTATCTATGTCACAATGTGGTTCAGTCAAGTTTCTATAACGGACAAATATCTATCAAAAGAAAACTCATTATGCCAATAGAGGAATAAGGATCCAAAATTAAAGAAAAAGGTAGAAACAAACTATCAACTTTTGTTTGATAGACAAATGCACTACGGATCAAGATATATGCGACCTTTTGCCCTACTAATCAAGACAAGAAGATGCAACTACTAATGACTCAAACAAAAAGAAAAATGAATAATGTAGCCGAATAAGAATTATGATGGATCATACTTAAGTTCAATAGGTTCCTCTCCCCTAGCGTCAAGCAGCTCATCCATGACAGAAAAGTAAGAATGGAATGAAAAATCAGCAAAATCCTGAACAATGGTGCAAGCACCCCAAATATTGTTCCATGTTCCATCCTACACAGTTTCAATCCAAATTAACAGCCATTCATCAAAGACTAGACCATATAAGCAAATGGACTATGGACAAATAAGCAAATGGAGAATGGACAAATTTCCGAAACAATACCGTGAAGACCCTGACCAGCTTCATAGCAAGAGATTCCCCTTCTTTGCTGATAGCCTTAAATGTTTCCATTACCGGCCATACATAGCCATACCCAATTCCCATGATTGCACTCCCTGCTACTCCCACCACTGTCCAGATAGCTATTGGTATTGGAACCAACAATATCAATAGGCATTTCATAAATGGTCCAAATTTCCTTGTTCTGTAACACCCAAAAAAACATTATTTAATATCTATACAGCAAAGCATTAAGCCTAAAATAGTTAATCTACTGTTCCAAAATAGTTGCAACAATATCTTTTCATGGTCCCTGCACTAATTTAACCATTTATATCTTAAGTTATAGATTATTAAAATTTATGAAAATTCCTTATTCCATACTCCAAAATGTCCTGAATTTCCTTGTTCTGTCCCAAACTCCCAATTGAACAATTAATTTAATCAAAACCCCAAATCATTACAACATCAGCAGTAGACAACAATACTAAACCTACAACTAACAACTACAATTCATTAAACTATACCGTTTAAAATTAGTAAGAAGATGTATAATTAAGTAATTAATATAATTAAAAACCAGTAAATAATCATACTAAAATATCTACAACTAACAATTAAAATCATTAAACTAAAAAAATAAGTAAGAAAAGATGTGTGATTAATTACTTGATCAAGCAGTAGATACTCCAGAAAAGATGAAGAGGCCATAAACCAATGACAACCCCAGTATCACCAAACGCAATTATAAGAAATACAAAAGGACTAATTATAGCACCTGCAACAAAAATTCAGAACAAGGGCAGTTTAGGAATATGAAAGTTTTCTCACTCCAAAAAAAAAAAGGAAAGATATTACCTTTGGCAAATCCAAGCAAGAAAAGGAAGACGAAAACAGGGATAAAGAGGATGAAATAAGCGATCATAAACCATATATTTTTGGGGATTCGCATTTTCTTTTACTGATTTTAATGGAAGATTTTAACTGTAATTAACTACAAATTGATTGATAATGGTCTGAGATTTTTTGTTCAACTGGTAGAAGTTGTTTTGTGTTAATAAACATGATGTATATTGTAACAAAAATGGAAGGTCTAGTTTTTGGGAAGATGACAGTTCTGCGTGCAGCACGTGGTGAAATTTCTTATTCATTCATTTTCTTGAGTTGCAAAAAAGTCTATTCTTTTGTTATCGATGCTTTTTTTATTTACACTCCTATGAATAACAGGCATGAACAAATTTGTTACCTTTTTTGAAAGAACAACAAATTTGTTACTAATTGTTACTGTGTACTTCGTACGAGTATTTCTCACTCTAGTTAGAGGCGTTAAAAACCGAACTGATCTGATTAAATCCAACCTAATCTGATTTATATTTTGACTTATATGAACATATTAATTTAGCATAATTCAAAATTAGACCAGTCCGACTAGACTCATTCAATGGACTTGGTGACTCATATTTACATTCTAACTTTTATTTATCCGAAAATTATCTAAGCTAATACTGTCAAAAGTGATGATGAACTTCAAAGGTGCAGGTTTATCGGTTAGCATTAGTAATGTCCATAGTTTGTAATGAACTTGTTTTCCAATGTCAAAGGGGAAAAAAAAACAAATCAAAAAATTTCAAGAAAAAACGAGCAGCGTCTAATAAGATTTGCTGCTTCTAAAAGAGATCTAAAAGTGTATAAGATGATAGTCATCAATGCACTTGCTAGCTTCAGTCAGCCAAAAGTATAAATTGTATCCATTAAAGTATTTATACAGAAACTTTACAAATTGCAAGTAGCTCATATTGGCATCATGAGCACATAGCCTTCTCCAGCGTTTCTTGCAGCTCCCCACTTTTGAGCGCTTCTGTAAAGGAAACATGATTCAGAAAAAGTATTCAAAGAAGTATAGAACGCATAACATATTAATTAATGTGTGCAATTTCTTCCTCCATAATAATACTAAGAAATTTTACAAGCAACCTCAAAGCAACCATGATGCAAATTTACTAAGAGGTCAAAGAGCTTCGGGAAGCACTAACAAGAACACCCCTAATGTAGATTGGAGAGTTGGAATGAAATACATTATAAACAAAATAGTTCTATGTTATGCCCAAAGCCTATGTGGCTAACAGCTATGTAGACCCGGCTTTTTACAGCCTACAGGTATTTATGAGGGAATGACTCGCACAACACTTCCTAAACAACACTGTACTTATAAAATATGTGAGTTAGTGAATGTATCCATTGTTCGATTCAAGCAAAAGCCAGGTTAATGCAAGTCCTAGGCACAGGCGCTACAGTGAAATCACTTCTAAATATATGTACCCGCTCCAATATGAAGTGTTTTTCCACTTAAATAACAAAAGGTACTAGATTTAACCAATAGTATATACGAAGTATTATACAGTCAAGTTGGAAAACAAATAAATGAAAGAATGAGCATTTGATGTTTGATGAGAAGAAAGTAAGAAGGTAAGTCTATTATGTACTAAGGGCTGGCAGAATGAAAACCAATGATGAAGTTACAACTTTACAATGTAGTCCTTGTTAGCTTCAGCAGAGCAGAACCATTTCAAAAATCTTCCCAATTAGGACTGATTATTTTTGAAAGAGGCCTAACAGTTATGACGGGGACCAAGCGTTTTGTTGGGGGGTGCAAAGAAAATCTGATGAAAGCTTAGAAAAAAAGAAGGGGGGGGAGGGGGTGCAGGATTGCTCGGCCTTCAAGAAAGAGAAAGCAAGAGAAATTTTTTCTATTAACAACAGATGAAGTTTGTAACTTTTACATAAATTTATCAGCTGTCAGAATTCATCTAATCTACTCATTTTTCCACCAAACTAAGGAGATAAACAATTCTTCACATAACACTCAAAACCTGTGGTCAAATCAAAGACAGAAGTTACAGTTAAATAAATTTCCCATAGTTCCATTAACTCTTAATCCACCAGAAGCAGAATTGGGTCTAGTTTTGTTTGACTACATCAAAGGAGATAGGATTATACCACTATAACAAACCTGTAGTCAAATCATGTACACGAGTTTCAATAAACAATGCAAGTACCCATTGATCCTATAACTCTTCTTTCATTTTGAAGCAGAGTTGGGTCTAGTTATGTTTTGACTATCACTAAGATCAGGATACTTCATTTGTCATGACCTTATACTATAATGATAATCAACAGGTCAAAAAAGAAGATAATACAGAAATATAATCACTTAAAGGAAAGCAAGTCACAGTATCCTAATAAATTCTGAAGAACTCACCGACTACGATGTCACAACCACCAAAGAACTCCCCATCAATATAAAGCTGTGGAAAGGTCGGCCAGCTTGAATATTCCTTCAAACCTTGACGCAGAAACTCATTTTCAAGAATGTTAATAGTTTCAAAAGGCACATTCAGAGACTTCAATATCTGTACAACAGTATTTGAGAATCCACATTGAGGGAAATCCCTGGTTCCCTTCATAAACAGAATCACTTTGTTTGAAGTCACAACTTTATCGATAGTAGTCTTCAACTCGGGAGTAAGAGCTGAATAGATAATACAAGAGGGTGTTAAAAACTTATAGTTTACTCATAACTTCCAGGTCATTGCTCATTACATGAGCACATAATTAGGAGACTGCCTTTCCTTTATAACTTTCTATAGTAATTAAGGACAAAGTATACAGTGTGAGGGTTAGCTTTCTATATGTATCCTTAATGAGAAACATCCTAATACCTCAGAATTGCACTCTTCCTTTCTTCATATTGAGTATATTATGCAAGAAACCAAAAGAATGAACTCTTCATTACTCTCAGAAATCTGCTAAAAATGATTCAAATGGTGCAGTCAATGACATCAAAACTACAGGTTTAAGAAATGAGGAAGATTATACCTTGCGTGCCCAACAAATGCTATGAGGACAGCAAAGCATTCTTTAAAGAGCCAAGGATGGGAGAATCCTAGGTATAAGGGGTGGACATATCATGGAATTTGATATATCAGAGAGCCAAGCATTAGATGCTCAAATAATGTTTGAGAAAATGCCAGAGATGGAAATTAAGTGTTCCAAGCTAAATGAAACTAAAGTATACACTCAGATTGAAGGAATACATTTACAGCTTTACTAAAAAGAAGTAAAAATTTAGGTTAATCAATACCTATGACTTTCTTTGTCGACAATCAAAAGTCTCATTTGACCCAAAAATCTTGTCCCTAAAAAAATCATTGGTATTGGATCTAGTAAACTTTATTTTTTATCATTATTTTTCATCTTTAAATAATCAAAACCCATTATGTTATTTCTTCTACACTTTTAATCAACAAAACCCTATTTTCATCTTTTTCTTTCACCTTTAAACAACCAACCCCTTACCTTCCTAAAAACATATGCAAAAGGCAAATGAGACTTTTATTTGAAGACGCAACGAATACATAATTGATTGGATTGATTAAAAGTGCTATCAATTATGACCCTCGGGTTATTTTTATAATTGGTCTGTCAAACGGTCAAACCTCAAACCTGGGAACAAAATAGGTGGATGTGTAATTACTTGGTTTTGATGTAGGAATGACCTAGGGTTACTTAGAATTTGCTCTTTGAACTGTACGTTTTGGTATATATCCAAGTGAGATTATGTACGATGATGAAATTGGGATGATAGCCTTTTCTTTTTCAGTTCCTTATGGACGCAACTATAATGATGTACCAATATATTGTGTTATTTCATACTTGGACTTGCTTTCAGTGGGTCAGTGGTGAATCTTGATAGCCTACTAGTTATTTATGCCATTGAACTGGGTTTTAAGAGTGAAAAGGCTATTCTCTTTCTCTATGATACCAAATGTTTGCATATGTTAGTTGGAAATTTAAATGAGCTGAGTGTAAAGCTGTAAACAGTCTAAACACTATTTATATTTTACATCCCTTATTCGGCCTTGGATTACTAATCTTGATATATGATCCTATTGACTTTGTCTGTACTTTGTAAGGAAATCTTTTCTTTGTTATTGAATGGAAAATAAAGCTGTATATTTCAACTTTACCAATGCAGATAAACCGATAAAGGTGATGTTGGGGGAAAGGAGTGGACAGTGTAGGACCAATGCTTCAGGGTCCATTACTGGTGCTTCCTAATTCCTAACACTTCATAGGATTACAGTTGTAACACAAATGCACTAAATACCTATGGGCAAGTAGCAAAGAAAAAGTAGTTATTGGATTATTGCAAAGAAAATGATGTTGGCACTTCCAACTTCTCGAAAGGATTACATAATCAAGATTCAAGAAAGAACACTGTTGAAGGGATCTATAGATGTGATAGAAAGTAATATTAAAAGGAAATGAAAGGCACAATGTCTTAAGGATTTGGCTGGACCGAAAGCTTGTGCCATATACCAAAGCTAAGAAAGGAGTGTGAAAGAGAAGAGGATACTGCCCTTGATTCCGATACATAGACTTCCCAAAACTTTCTTAGCTTTAGTGTATACTTACCCATACAATAAGAACATCCTATACTCATACAACCATTTCTCTCCTTGGAAATGCACTCTCTTTTTAAAATGCAATTCATCAGCTCAAAATCAATCTCCTTCTCCATTGAAGAGATCCAACAAAATTTGACCGAGTAGCCAACGATCACCATCAATCAAAATCTTCTGCCTGATTGATTGGATTTGGTGGCTTGTTATTCTAAAATATAATCTTAACTTTACTTCCACCATAACCTATCTCATATCTCCAAAAGTCAGGCAACTAGCAAGCAATTTCCAAGGAAATTTAGCTAAACACAGTTTTGTTCTTCGCGATCATGATCACCATAGAGCCACTCCTAACTGCCGGAAATTTAAAGTTCATAACTCGAAATCAGCAAACTTCCAATCAAATTGTTTCGAATTTTGCACAAATTAATTGTGAATTCAACTCCTAAAAAGCCATAATGTTAGGCTTAATCAACACAGAACAAGAATGACACCAATTTTATCAACATTCACAATAAATTAGGCATCGAAATATCTAAATTGAAACCAAAACTCGCAAAATCAGGTCAAATAAATCCAGAAAAAACGGCTTAAACAAAATAATTCAGCATAAAATTACAATAATTAGAAAGTGAAGCAAAATTACAAAGAGTATCAATAAATTAAGCGAATTTCGATTGAAGAGAAGAATGATAGAAAGAATCTTACCAGCGAAACAACGAAAGGAAGAAAATGAACCTCGGCGGAAGACGGCGTCGGTATTAAGGGTGGAAGGGCGACGAAAGGAGAGAGAAGGGAGACGAAAACAGCGTTGGGAAAATGAAAATGAAGCGCCGTAATTTCTTACAGTAAGCGTCGGTGTTTTCTCCGGCGAGTAAATTGCCGGCGATATTGCAAGAGTATTCCCAACCACTGAAGCCATTTTTACAGACCGCTTCTTCGCTCAACTCTACGCCTTCCGCACTGATAAGTCGAGGAACTCTATCCTCTTAAGATCTTAGGGGGGTTTTGTACTTTCATATTTCTCATTAAAAAAATTTACTGTGTTGAGTTGGAGTTGGAGTTGGAGTTAAAGTTAAACTTCAGATCAAACTAGATTAGATCTCGTGCCATGCACGGTAATTAATTTCACTATTGTTTATAATTCAACACAAAAATTTTAAAAAACAAAAATAAAATAATTTGTATTATGCATGTGGACAAAATATATAACTATAGTATTTACTTTTTTATTTTTTTTTATTTTTTTTTATGTATATAATGAAATGAAACATGAAATATAACGATGACATAGTAATTAGACAAATAAGTTTAAAATTTTAATGATAAATTGATATCGTTTATCTTTTTATTAACTAAATAACTAAGTATTTTAAAATTGTATATTAAACACTATGGGATTGTAACATAAATAATTACTACAGTGTATTTGATACAATTTAGGATAGTGGAAAACATATCTAATTTGTCGTGCTTTTGATATACATAAATAACTAAAAGCCAAAAATAAATCAAATAAGATTAATATTGTAAAAAAAATAAAAAAATTATGCTATTAGGAAGCCGTTTCGTAATAAGAAATTAAAACATTTTGAAATTTCTAAATAGATATGAATAACAAAAGAAGGCTTAGGGAATAATAGTAATAGTAATAGTAAATAATAATAGTAATAGTAATAATCAAGTATGAACCAATTATTTTTAAACGCATAATTTTTTATTTTTTTATTTTTGAAGGAATATATTGAAGATTTGAAGGAATAAAATACTGCATAAGGATTAAGAAATAATATATACTCCATATATATACAAAGTAATAGACGTTAGAATAGTATGTTATGGAATGATGTGAATCACGAATATATATTTTGTTTAAGTAAGTGAATGATTTAGTGAATATTTTTAGTATAATTTACAATAAGTAGTTGATGTCACCGTGGAAAAAAACTTAGAGGAAAAAACAGTACCAAATTGTGACAGGTGTTATTTCTAGAGTCGATTTCTTCCTAGTATCCGTTTTAATATTACGTTATAGATTGAATAGTAAAGATATATAATAATAATAATAATAATAATATTATTATTATTATTATTATTATTATTATTATTATTATATACAATAAAAGATATGGAAAATATGTGAATCACAAATATATATATATTAGAAAAGTGAATCTGATTTGATGAATATATATAAAGTATATTTACAATAAAAAGTAAAATAAAAAAATAAAAATAAAAAAACAATTTTGGAGGAAAAATACAGCACCGGAAAGTGACACGTGTCATTCTTGGTGTTTGTTTTAGATTATGTTATTGATGAGTATTTTGTTTGGGGCAAGTTTTAACTTAATTACTACGTAGTGCTTCGGTTCATGTCACTCAAGTTAGTTTTAAAATGGTTAACTCCAAGTTTGGGTTTAGTTCAAACTAGATGAGTCTTGAATTTTGGATCAAGATTGAATTAGGCATGACTTGAGTTTCAATCAAATTTAGGTTGGGCTAGAATGAGATGCAAGCAACTTTGAAACTTACCATTATGCTCTTTGATGCAAAAACAATTGCCTAATTTGTTGGCCGTTTGAAATTCATTGGTAATTTTGTAGCTCATTAAACCATTATTTTAGGCTTTTTAGCTAGATAAATGTTAGGAGTTGAACAAGTCTAGGAAAATCATCATCGTCCAAGTGAGGTCTCCACGTATGCACTAATCACTTCTAAAAAAAAAAAACGTGAAAGATTAGCCAATAACTAAGGTCAATAATCTTCCGATCCATAAATATGTAACCTTAAAAGTTGAACAAGTCAACAAGTCTATACGAAAATGAAATATGTACCGACTCATCGAGTACTTCATATACTAGAAAGACAATATTTGTCACATTAAAAATAAATAAATAAAAAAAAAAATTGTTGGTGATGCATAAATAATCCCATAAAATTAATGTTCTTCTTTCAATACTTGTACTTGATCTTTCGTCCCAAATTTCTCGCATCATATTAACTGTCAATGACCTAAGGGAGGGACACATTACAAGTTAAAAGCCTAAATTACTGCCATGAGATTATGATAAAATAGCTCATTTTCAGTAAGTGTAATTACTACTCTGTAGTAGTTTTGATAAACATTACTATGTATAGAATTGTGAGTAGTAAATTCTTATAATCTGACAAGGTTTGTTGTTTCATTATAACAGAAAACTTGAATACAAAAGAAATCTGCAGATTGATTTTGTGTACTTGTAGTAGTACTTTTTTTATAAAGATTAAGAAGAATGATTAAATGCAATTCAATATACAGTATGCATGCAGTACTCAACATTTAATCTTTTCTTGCTTCTCAGCTTTGGAGTTGTCTGATCATTGATGACTTCATTTATTTCAACTAAAGATTTTTGGCTTCTTTTTACCTTTCTTCAATATCAACTCTCTAATCTCTAGTCTACTACTATAGAATTATTTTCAATACTTTTATAGTTTTATGTGTGTTTGATGTGAACGAGCCATCCAAACAATACAATTCGTATACATACATGTCCTAAATTAGTTATTTTAATACGTTGTTATATGTGCACTTATATCTTTAATTTAAGGAATAAAGCCTATTAATTTATTACAAGACGATTAAAAACCAATAACTAAGTAACTAAGGGTATGGTAAAATAAAACCAATATGCATAAAATCTAACTAATTACTTTTAATTGAGTTGCAAATTACATTAACATAAAATGAGACGATAAAAAAGCTAGATTAAAATAATGAAAAGAAAAAAGAAAGACAATAATCCTAATTAAAAATAACTCAAATACTACATACGTAACCTAAGAGTGATCAGGAAATACAAGTACATCGTTCACACGAAAAATTGTAACTTTTAAAGTATCGGGAACATTTTTCACAAGCTCGAACACACAAATGTCCCCAAGTTGGATGTAATTATCTTGAAAAAATGCCCTCAATCCTTCCGAAAGCTTACAGTTAGAGCCGGACGATGGACGATAGATGGTCATCTTCACCTCCCATGTTTTCCTGGGCGACGACCCTTGTAGCTTGATTCGGCGCACATCATCAGCTCCCTCCATATGAGCGTTCACCCAATGCACTGGTATGTTCTACAAAACAATAACAAAACAAAAAACATGTTAATAAAATATTCATTCTACGTATATTATCTATCAATATTTAATTAAAAAAAATATATATATGTACCACCAAGTTATTGTTGAGGTAGCTGGTAGAGATTTTGACCATGAAAGAAGGAATATCGGAGTGAGCACTCCGATATGCCTCCGCCACCCTAACTAATTCCTCGTCGGGGTCGTAAGAAGGTCGTCTACCTGCCCCCGGTCTCCTAGTCCGTTTGCCTCTTTTGTTCACGAGTTCAACCTCGGCAGGTGCTTCTCCTTCTTGGACGGTCTCCTTAAGGCAACCGTGTGTGCCGTAGAGTTTGACACTAAAGTTGGAGTTTCCTAGGTGTGTAAATACCATAAACTCTCCAACTTTAAGGTCATTTTCTCTTACGAACTCTTCCCAACCCTTTCTGAAGTAGAATTCTTCATCTTCCTCTTCCAAACCCACTTTCCATTCTTGGTTTGTTCCCGGCCGGAAGATTGTAGCCTTTCTTTTTACGGCGGATTGTAGGTGGGTTTTGAAATCAGAACAAATGTGCTGGTCATATAAGAGAGGGAAAATAATTATTAGTTGAACAAATTACGGAGTAGTAATAATAATATACTCGTACTTGATAAGAAATAGTGTACATAAGTACATAAAGAAAATGATCGGGATTATTACCAATTGGTTTGAGCAATCCTCTGGGAGAAACACTTTGAAGAATTTAGGGCATTCGTCGTCAAAATGTGTTGATGAACTGGCCATTTTTTTCACTCGATCTGTTGAAAAAAAAGGTTTTATGAGACAGAAATTAAAGTATAAGGAGTGGGTTAAAAGAGAGAAAGGTCTAGAGAGTGATATTTCATATTCTCTATAATGCATGTTCTTACACCATAGGCAGGGGCAGACCCACCTTTAGTCATAGTGGGTTCGGTGACACGGTATTTTTTTAAAAAAATAAACATCAAAGAGACCCCTTTTTATAGATAGGGGGTCTCTTTGATGCTGCTAGTGGTAACAACAACCAATATCAAAAAGACCGCTTATTAAGATAGGAGTCTCTTTGATGCTGCTATTGCTACAAAAGACTTGGTGTGTTTTTTTTATATATTAAAGAGACCTGTTATTTATATAAGAGGTCTCTTTGATGCTGCTATTGCATTTCACAATTTTTTGCGTTACTTTTTTTCATTAAAGAGACCAGTTATATTTAATAACTGGTCTTTTAAGTTATCTCACTTTTTTTTGTATAATTTTTTAATAATTTTTTTTCCCTTTTTATATCTTATATTTGTACAACCAATTTTAATATTTCCCCATAAACCTTATCAATTAACTAAAAATTCATAAAGTTAATTCAATATAATAATTTTATTGTACCATTGGTTTATAACATGTTATTTGTAGTATTTTCGACTTGTAAAATTGAATTCTTAAGTACTGTATTTGGTTGTGATATGAATTTTTGTGTCCTATTTTTGGATTGAAATCAATTTGGTATATGTATATATACATATATATGTATTTATATATACATATATATGTATGTATATATAAATATATATATTTTATATATATAAGTTTTGGATTGAAATTAATTATGAACAAGACATGGAAAAAAAAAATTGTACTTTCACAAATGATCAATAATTGATGGTGACACGCTATCTCGGAAATCCTGGATCCGCCACTGACCATAGGTATAAAACAAGACTATAAGTAAGGGCAAAAATGGACCTTTATCATTCTAACTTTGATTCTATATTTTTAAATGGTTTATATAATAAAATTGTACGTGACTTAATATCTAAATTAATCGTATCTTGGATTTACTAGATCGATCAGCCGGTCATATAACGGAGAATATTAATATGTTTGAGCAGTGGCGTCTCCAAGATTTCCAAAGAGGGGGTTCGAAATTTCGTAAGTTTGGAATCGTAATTAACAAAGAAATAAAAATATATAATTAAATATTCACTGCATAAGTTCAAATCATGGATTATAAATAAGATTACACAATACACATAGAAAAATGGCACAACCTACAATTTACATAATTACATTAGCAATTTAGCATCATCTAATTACCTCAACAATCAACAAACAACAATCAACAAACAAGTAGTGAACTAAGTGAGTAAGTGCGAAACAGCTCAAACAAGTACTGAAACTGAACTAAGTGCGAAAGTGAAAACGGCAAGCTCACCAGTCACCAGACACCGTGGAGCCTGGAGGCAGGAGGCGTCGATGCGTCTGCCGTGTGGTCGTCCTCGACTCGTCGGTGGAGCCAGGAACCGAAAGGACCCTCACGTCTGGCGAACTGGCGAAAGTGCGAAACTAAGAAAGTGGGAAAGGGCAGAAGACGCAAGCTCACTAGAGGAAGATTTTTGTGGGTTTGATCGGCGGAAGGCAGGGGGATGGTTGTTAAGATCTTAAGCTTGAACCAGATCAGAGGTTCAATCAATGGTGAAAAGTAATATAAGTTTCTGGAAGAAAATAGAGAGCAAAAATGAAGAAGAAGATTTTGTGAATTTTTGATTGAATAGTTTAAGTTGTAATAATGCTTACAAACATGTATTTATACAGCATTCAATAGACTAAGCTTACCAACTAGGGGAGAAAGCCATAACCTGAAATTTCTACAAGTATTACTTTTTTTTACTTTATTTTATTTGAATTTATTCGAAACATATTATTTGTCTAAAATTATACTGTATAAAATAAATTGTATCTGAAAATTCTAATTACAAATTATTTTGTTTGAATAAAAAAAGTTATACACACTAATCAACAAGCCATAACCTGTTCACTTTTACAAACCACCCAAAAAAAAATAAAAAAATAAAAAATTCCCTAAGTATGTACTCGTAGTACATAGGTTAGCATGGTAGGAATTAATTCCGTGCTGAGCACTGTATATGATGTCATATATAGTTTAGCTAATTTTTTATTTCATGTTATAAAATTGATTGTTTTGGTTAAGTGCCAAAAGGTCTTTCTTTTGAAGAATCAGATTACAGAACCTTATCTCATCTTATCTATGCTTCGTATAAGTAAGTAGAGAGTTCTATTAAATACTTGGTCAGTTTGGAGTTTGGACAGAACTTGTACGGAGTACTTATTACCCTCTAGGAACCAGCGGGTTTTCTGTGTCTAAGAAATTAAGGAGGGGTAATCCAAATTTGAGAAAATGTTCATGTTGCATTGAATGGCAGGCTGACAACTGTAGACAGTTAAAAAAAAGAGACATGTTGTATTTACTTGGTTAAAGCAAAGCGTTAAGGGTTGTAATACGGAGTAGCTAAATACTCGTCTAATGTTCTCTTTCTTTGAATGTCTAAAATAGAAATGTGATCGACCAATCCTATTGTTCTTTGCCTCAAGATACCGCTCAAACAATATAAGGTATATTGGTATGTAATGAAACGACAATTAAACTAGCTAGCTCTCTAGAAAAAGAAGATACATTGATGACAACCCAACAAGATTCATCGGTCATACGTTCCACATGCGGCGGTACATTTGACTATCTCATAGCTAGATGTGATTAATCATTATGACAACAGTACACAATACTTGATCACACCTCACAAAATAGGATATTAACCTTAAGATGCTGAGTTCACAATTAGGTAATCACCTAACTTCAAAAAAAGATGCTAATAACGAACACATTGTGATATATACATAGTACTTGGTATTTATGTTTATTATGCTAGTTCAAAATGGATGAAATGAAATTCCCAAAACAGAGAGCAAACTTAGAATAAACGAAGCATACACACCATACGCTTAAGCAAATGTACTCAAACTTCACTTTTGACTGGATTTTCGTGATTTCCCTTCGCATTAGCAACTCGTAATATGCTAACTTTAAACTCTTGTTGGTTGATTAACTCAAAGATACAAGTATCATCCACATTCAACTTGTTATCTAATGCAAAAGATTTCCATCCCGTTTTCAACTTAGCATGTGTATTGCTAGCAAACATTGTAACCGGCCAAGTTTTGCCACTATCAGTTCGAAGATTGAACCTGTGACTGAAATATTGTTTCTTGTCCAAGTATGTGAAGTATCTCTTCCTAAATGTTTTCGGTACACCCTGCAGAAATTAACTTCAACTCAATTGATCAATTCAATGGCAACTAATTTCTTATCTTAACTAGCTACCTTAAAAAAAATATGTCAACCTGTAACATTGTAATGAAACCAAAGTAAACTCACCACACTAAAGTTGTACTCAACAAAGGACGGTTGCATCTTTATCACAAATACAGGATGCTTACATTGATGAGCATAAGCGCGAACTCTCTTGTATTCCTCGGGAGTGAGCTTCCAATTTCTTTTGTGAGCTATTATAAGCTTGTTATCCATACTTGTTTGCATCCCTTGGGAAAATGTACATAAACAAATTATATCAAGTTTATTATCTTATAAAATTTATACTAGTACAAATAATCACATTGAAAAAAAAAAAAAAAATCTCTCTAGCTAGTACCTTTCACTGAAGAGCAAGGTTTAGTGTGGTCATTAGTTCTCCTCTTCTTGGGAGGGCTTTCCCTACATGCTTTTGTTATAAGCGGATAATGGATCTCCTCCTCAGTTTTGAACACTAGATTTTCAGCATTTTTCTCATCACTAACACGAATTATATGAACTTGGAACTTGTGTTTCCTGATCAACTCAAAGATACATATATCACCCACTTTTAACTTGTTTTTTAATGCAAAATCTTTCCATCCTTTTCTGAACTTTACATGTGTATAATCAGCATCAACTAACACTGGCCAAGTTTTGCTAGCATCAATTTGGACGTTGAATGTGAGACTGAAAGGCCGTTTCTTGTCCAAGTATCTATTTGCAAATTCTTTCGGTATACCCTAATTAATCAATGCACCAAAATATCCTCAGTATAATCATACATTCATTGTACGTAGTATTGGAAAACCAAATATTAGCTCACTCACCAGATTAAAGTTCTTCACGACAAAGGATGGTTGTATCCTGATTACGAACAAGGGTTGCTTACGTTGATAAGCATAAGCGCGAACTTTCTTATCTTCCTCAGAAGTGAGACTAGTATTTCTAGCTATTATGAGCTTAGCACCCCCATTTGTTCGCATTGCTTTGACTAGCATGTATAATGTACAAAAAAAAAAAAAAAAAAAAAAAAAAAAAACACTCCGTCTATCAAATTTGTTCAAAAAAATAAATAAAATTGAAAGACATGCATCCAAATAGCAGTCATGTACCTTTCTCTAATGAACTACTAGGTTTAGTGGTACCGATAAATTTCTTCATTATGGGGGGAATTTCTCTACATGCCTTCAGAATGGATCGGGTACTCGATCTCACAAGCGCTCATGTCGAAGATGATTACATCAAAACGAGAATTACCTCTATATTTGAACATTAAGAAATGACCATGGGACAGTGAATAAAATTGTACAAATTCTTGCCATTTTTTCTTACCAAGTTGAGTTTCCATACTTTACCAGTTGGAATTTTTAGGTATATGACATTAGAGAGATCATTTCCATGTGTTTTCATAAATTCCTTGGATATTTCCTGAGAAATGGCAGATATTAAAATTATAACATACACCATGTATGTTGGCAAATAATCAAATATGTTACACTATAAATAATTTGAAGCCAATTAACATCTAATAGGTTTTTTTCTACAAGAATCGTACTTTGAAGTATTAATCTAAGGTGTAATAGCTAATTAGCTACTATGCTGGCCAACAGGTTGATTCCCAAATCCTAAAATTCACTCTAAAATGTTTCAAAAATCTCATCTATGTTAATTCCTTTTTATGAAAATAACGTTTTTTGCAATAATTATAGATGAATAACTTAACAAATATAGCAACAAGAGCAACAACTTATTTGCTAATTTTATTTATTAATTTAATTACTCCATATAAGTAAATAATTAGGACTTTAGGAGCTTTTAGCTACTACTCATGTATGTCAATAAAATAAGTCACAATTTTTTTTAGCGATTTATTACCAACACCTCACACCCACAAATGAGCTTATGTGTTATATATCACATGTGAATGTAAACGAGTTTAGTTGAATTGGTTAAAATTTTAAAGGGTAATGTCTAAGGTAGGATCAAAATCTTCAAATCTTGACATTATAGCTCATTGTACCAAAAGAAAAAATTAATAAAAAAAATAATAATACTAAAAAAAGAAAGAAAGAAATACTACTCCAAAAAACACTGTAGACATAAATCCACACCATAATGAACACTGAATAAAACTGAGAGACTTTTTCTTTCTTTTTTTTTCCTTTTTTTCTTTGAGCCCATTCTAGCAAAGCTGCAAATCCTTCCAAAACAAACAGCAAACCATTTTTACATAAACGACAAGCACCATTTACTAGACCTTTTACCTATCCCCTATCAATAACTTTCTCTAATAAATTTACTGTAACATTTATCTACATACAAAACTATACTACGTATTAAATATCAACATAAAAAATAAAAAATAAAAATCATATTAATAAGAATATTTAACAAAAGTTAGACGGTGCAACTACTTATAATGTGGAAAAATGCCATTGCATGTATGTGTAAATGACTAAACATAACATTAGCCATGTTACCAAAAGATGTTGATAAAAAACAAGAAGAAATGAAAGAATATCAACAAGCAAAGGAAATAATTAATTAATTAGAATTTACCAAAGTTTGGAGATCAAATCGAGGCTCAAGTATTAACTTGTAAAAGCAAGCTTTAGGCCACTCACTAACCCCATCACCTTCCATATTGAGGAACTCAAGAGTTGAAGAGTTGAAAGTGCTATATCAGAAAATAATCTCGCCAAATGACTATTAATTAACCACCTACCCACTTTCTAATAGCTCTTAAACTTCTCCTTAGAGTGTAGTACTACATAATAAATGCACTATAAATACTCCTAATTTAAAAGATATCACTTCGTTTCTTACTGTTTTACCTAATTGGCATATGTACGGTCTTCAATTACGATGTATTAATAAAAATCATGAAAAATATTAATTTGATCAAATTTGTTATACTCCGTAATTAAAACAAATTTAACAGCATTTAATATTGAAAAATGAAAAATGTTATATATAGCTCTTAGGCCTACATATAAGAATTAAATACACCGTACAAAATCGTAAAATTTTAAGAAATTATAAGAATATAAACCCAAGTTACACTGATTTTAATGTGTTTTTGTCATGAATTTCTAATTTTATACAATTTTCAATAGTGTATTTAATGCTTGTACGTGAGCTACATATAGCATTACCCTAAAAAAATAAACAATAAATAAACATATATTATATCAATTTACTCGTGAATTGTTGATAAATTCTCAACTTAATACTAAAAAAGGAAGTATATTAAAGCATTGCCCAAAAAATTATACTCGTAATAAAAGTATTTTAAAGAACCACAATAGTTTTATTTTTAATTATTTTTGTGGAAAGGATAAAACGAAGGAGTCGTAAAATGTTGTAGAGGTGTTAATTTGAGTGTGCAGTTCAGATTCGGTAATTAAAGTCGAATCTATTTTAAATTTGATTCATGTTAAATCATTGTATCCATATAAGTTATGATTTTTTCCGGGTCAGGTCGGTCTATTTTTGCACCTCTTAAATCTTGTGTTATAATTTTATTATTTATTACTTAATGGTAAAAGCTAATGAGCGCCTCCGGGGCGTTAAATAAGAGAATTAAAAATGGAATCATTGGAGTAAAACTAACATTAATTACACCGAACGACGTGTAATTTTGTCATGCATTCCTAACTTAATACTATTTTAACCAATATAATTATTTCTTATCTTAACGCCCCGGAACGCTCGTTAGCAATATCCTTAATTAATAAGGGAAAAATTAAAAAAGTTTTTGTAAACAAAAAATGCTGGCTGTGGGGTTCGAACCCACGCGCACTTGTGTGCAGCAGATCTTAAGTCTGCCCCCTTAACCACTCGGGCAAACCAGCTTTGATGAAAGCAATAGCTTGCAGTTTTTAGTTATTACATTTAATAAATCTGACACAAATAAAACCAAATACTTGTCCCTTTTTATTATAAAGTAGTACTCTGTAGGTTTGCTCTCTAGTTGTTTCTCCATATTTAATTCTCCAGTATTTAAAAATAATTGATCATATAGAGTAGAATATCATAAATAATGTACCAATATATAAAGACTTTACTAATCAAATCGTTTAAAGATAATAACATGCATACACTAAACGACTAACGAATATACTAATATGTTTTCAACTTCATGAAATTGTGTGATCTAGATCAGTTAGTGGTTCAAGAATGTTAACTATAGAAATCGTTGAACAAGGTTTGACACTACCACATACCATGTATGATTAAACTTGTAGTTTAGGTTGTGCTAGCCAATTTAATTAAACGTGTTGAAAATGAGAAAATTTGGACTAACTCCCCGTTTCACAAAGTATTCAACTACCCTTACTTTTCTTCCTTTTCAATTAAAACTTGTTGCGACGTTTAAGGATTTAATCTTATGCAATGATTCAAGTAGTAATGATGGTCGCCAGTATTACATTTGTAATCCAATAACAAAGCAATGGGTTGCTCTTCCTCCGAATCCAGCTCGTGTGTCGTGGTTTGAGACATCATGGGCTGGTTTAGTGAGTCAAGATCCGTACTATGATGACATTGATAGACGTATAGATTATAAGTACAGGGTTGTTGTAGTTCTTCGTCCCACGCCCTTGACGTGGGAATTTGATCCTTACTTGAGTTTGAATCTGAGAATTGTAGGTGGATAGATATTGAGCTTAGGGTTTGTAAGGGAATGGTTTGTGTTCGCTGTAGTGTTTATTTCGGGTTGTTTGATCCATTCGATGTGACTCCTACTTCAAGCCGAGTTGTTGAGGCCAGAACTCTACCAATTCTTCGTAATCGTAGAGGAAACCTCTTAGAATGTGGAGGGAAATTGATTTCAGTCTATCTTGATCTTGCCAGATTTGCCATGTTTCCTACCCGTGTTTATTATAAGGGCTCTTATGTATGTAGACGTAAAGGGCGACTGTATTCAAATGACATATAATGTACTGGATCTCAATGAATTCATCGGGAATAATAGTAATAAGGACGTACGTTGGAAGACCTACAAATATTATTTATGTACACCCAACTAATAATCGGATGATATGTGTCTTAACTAATGAAAATAAGGTGTATTTATGTAATATAGGAGGGTCAGCTCGTTTGAAAAAATTGGGTGAAATTCTTCCAGGACTTCCAGGACATCATGACCAGTTTTATTGCTCTAGTAGATTTGAGCTCCAGTATTGGCCTACTTAAAGTGTTGAATCATCATCAGAGATAGCAGCGGAGCCCTCATCAAGGCATCTACTTTCAATCTCGGCAACACCAAAGTATTTATAACAGAAGCTACAACTCTTCATAAAGGAGTCCAACTAGCTATTCAATGTGGCATTCAGAACATTCAGATTGAAGGTGATAATCTATTAGTCATCAACTCAGTGAAAACCATTTGGGCAATCCCTTGGCAGATCGAGCATATTATAAAAGATATTCGGTCTCTCCTCACTCGGTTTCATAATTGGAGTATTCGACACATTTACCGAAACGCAAATCGAGCAGCAGATTGGATCGCTAATGTAGGTCATTTTGTGTCTGATAATATGGATATTGATGTTTGTAATAGCTCTAGCCTATTCCCTATTCTTTCTTCTGACACGTTAGGAATTCCGGGAGGGCTTCCGAATGTGATTTTCCTTACCTTAAAAAAAAAAACCTATTACTTACTTTATACGTACATGTTTGTTCATTCAAAAAGAATATTTTCAAAAGATAGTTATATATTTTTTTCCGCTTCAATTTAGTTGTCACATTACTAGTTCAAATTACATTATCAACATGACTATAAATTCCGGACAAAATGATAGATCATATAGATTGTAGCAGCCGTTTGTAAAACTACTGGATCAAAGTACTTGGACTAAACTTCTCAATATAACTACAAGCCCAAGAAGAACAACCAAAAGCAATGAACAAAATATCTTAGCAGTTAGCACATACACCCACATTCCTACAACCTTTTAGTCTGATTCAACTTCGATTATTACTGGTATGTTTTCGAGTTTTTCCTTAGCATAAGGAACACGAATTATGTGAACTTTGAACTCTTGTTTCTTGATCAACTCAAAGATGCAGATATCGCCAGCTTTCAAGTTGTTACCTAATGCAAATTTTCTCCATCCTGCGCCCATCAACTTCATATTAGTCTTACCATAGTTACCAACTGAGGCACAACTCCTCACTGGCCAAGCTTTTCCGGTATCTGTTTGAAGGTTGAATGTGCTAGGGCAAGGCTCATTGTGCAAGAATTTGTGTGCAAATGTTTTTGGTATATCCTGCTTGATTCATCAAAATAAACTTCACTAATTACACAATTTAAGAGCAATTACGATCAGATGTGTAAACCAAGACAAAACAGAGAAATTTCAAACTAATTACTCACAACTCACCATAGCAAACTTGGACTCTTCAAAGGATGGACATATTTTCGTAGCAAATGAGGGATGCTTACAGTGATCAGCATAATAAGCGCGAACCCTCCTCCATTCCTCTGGGGTGAAATACCTTTTATTGTAAGATATTATGAGCTTACCAGATGTAACACTTTGCATCCTTTTGTCTGATCGCGAATGAACTGAAAATTTAATAAAGTACATAAGAAAATCATAACAAGTTTGTAAGTAATTTGTGTTTTAACACTTTGTACACATTTTTTATGTTAATGACTTTAGAAGTTGAAGTACCTTTCTCTGAAGAATTAGTTTTCCTCTTTTGTAAAGGGTTGTTTCCCCTACATGGTTCAGGATCAAACGGATACTCGATCTCAGAAGCACTCATGTCGAAAATGATGACATCGAAATGAGAATTTCCTTTGTATTTGAACATCAAGCAATGCTTATCATTCAATGAGTAGAACTGGACAAATTTTGGCCAACCTTTTTGCAAGAAAGCCTTGTCATTTTCTCTGACCAAGTTAAACTCCCATACTTTACCAGTTGGAATGTTTTAAGTATATGACATTTGAGAGATCTTTTCCATGTGTACTCATGAATTTTCTTGGAATTTCCTAAGAAAGTAAGAAAGAATCATAGATGAAATTTATGAATGTGTTAAAGTCAGACTATAAATTGTAAGTAAAATGAACAGATTAAATCTCTGTTGAATAAATTTGGTTTGACAGGAAAGAATAATACATTAATACGAGCAATGTTATTAATAATATGATATACGACATGTACAATCAATTAGAGCTACAAGCAAGGCTTAGTCTTTTGATACATGTCTTCTTAAGAGAATAAGACTATAAGATAGCAACTCAGCTTGATCATTAGGCGTTGATTTTTTTATCATTATATTATCATTTTTTCATTAAATAGAATTTTATAAATAATCAAATAATTTAGGTAGTTCATATTACACTTTACACCCTTGTTGTACGGGGTACCCAATGTATGCTTCAAACAACCAACTACTTCAAATTAAAATTACTGTGTTTGATCATCTTAGCTACTTAATTGACAAATAGATTCTCCCCCTGTCCCTCCATCTAAAATTATTAGTCATATTGATAGTATAATTTAAAATAATAACATGACAGTTTATATACTCGATTCGTATATGACAAAACACAAAATTCAAGCATGAAATATGTATAAATGGACTATAAAACCAAAACAACCAAAAAGTTGCACTAGATCAAATAAATATACAGAGAAGTTAAAGGAACAAAATCTATACCAGTTTTTGGAGATCATGTCGAAGTTCAAGTATGATCTTGAAGAAACAAGCAACATTATTACACTCAGAATTCTCGTCACATGTCATGATGAAGGTTCAGGATTTGACAGTTCTTGCCAAAAATAGGTGAATTGAAATTTCTGAAATCAGAAAATCTCACCAAAATAATAAGCTACTCCCTAAAACTGTAGTAGAGGTAGTAAGACATCAATGAAGCTTATTTAAGATATGTACAACTACAACCTAACTACCACTTCTCACAGTAGTAGCAGTAAATATCTATTTATGTTCACTTTAGTATATATAGACTACTAAGACTAGTGCCTACGTGCACTTATTTATGGTCAAACTTTTAAGACGTAGACAAAACAATCTCACTAATATACACGAAAGAGAAAACATATTTTGATATTCATGTGATATGTTGTTAGTTTCGTCTATGTCTTGAAAATCATGTAAAATAAAGCACTATATTTTGAGACAAATGCATGATTCATACTCATTTTATTATTTTATTTTTAATTTTTGGTGAGCGGAAGATAGAGCGGGCTATTATCATAATATATCAATCTTTGCAAGAGTAATTAATCTTTTGCGAAAATAAGCCAATACAAGCACATTTCAAATTATTACTGCTTCGGGGTTTTTTATGTGTCCCGCGGGAGAGTTACGTCATCAAGACTGGGTTTTTATGTGTCCCGCGGGAGAGTTACGTCATCAAGACTGGATTCCCTTCGCCTGCACCTGGAAACAAACGGAAACTCCGGTTGTGCAGAGTTTCGCCTCTGACGATCAAGTTAGTAAGAGTCGAAGGAGAGTAAAAAGTGCGGAAAGTTAAAGTAGATCTTCTCAGATTCCGAGATCAGGTGTTTTCTCTGATGTGAGAAAATTGATTGTGTGTAATAAAATGAACTTGCCCCCAAATTGGTGTAAATCTCCCTATTTATAGGGTCATGGGGATCAGTGCCCCCTTTTATAGGTCATCAACCTAGGTAAATGGGATGTGCCATTTTTACGGCGTTCTTGGGATTTAGGCCTTTGAAAGCCGCCTTTTTCCCTAATAATAGGAGTGCCACGTGTCAACTGGTGATTGGTTCTTTTTTAATCTCTCATGGGAGGACACGTGTCCCCTTATGATTGGGCCACATGGCCTGGGTATTTTTACCCAAATTAATTACTACCCGTATGTTATAATATTACAAGTACAAAAAATACCCCTATCACATATCTAATAGTGTAATATAACGTGAGAAGGGGTTTGGTTGATAAATTTCACTTTCCAAAATACCCCTCTCATTTTCTTCTTTTTTATTTTTTATTTTTTAAAAAACTTTTTTTAAAAAAACTACCATCCTTTTTTAAAAAAAAAATAATTTATTATCCTTATTTAAAAAAAAAATAAAAAAAAAATCTACCATCCTTTTTAAAAAAAATTTTGACCCTATTATTTAGGATCTATGACTTCATTCACATATATATATATATATATATATAAGTTGGATCATGTGAAAACAATTGGTAAAGTGAAAACTGAAAACATTTAATCTGGGTTGTACATCAAATCTTATGGCTGAGATTTTTTCCCCTTATTTTCAGACATCTTTAATCTCTTAATTCACACGTTATTTTCTCTTTCCTACTTTCTCTCTCTTCAACCAACTAATCTATTTTCTCTCTCTACTGTGTGTGTTTCTCTCTCTTCGTATAATAATATAATTTCTATTTAATTTATTATTTTATTTTTGATATTCTATTTCATTGATAATTTGATATTGTCATATTGATTATTGAATTTATCATTCATTCATTTATGTACTGAATATTTAATTATTATATTTTTATTCCTTTGTTAATTACGATTTCAAATTTCCGAAGTTTCAAACCCACACTTCGAAAATCCTGGTGACGCCAATGCGCGGCGGAAGCATACTCTGAATTCTCCATTGAAGCGGCTAAGGTATTTTTGGAGGTTCGATCTTATTATGTTTTTTTTTTTTTGGTTTTTTAATCGTGTTTTTTTACGTTTGAACTTGATTTGTTCTTCAATTGTTGTTTTCCTTCTGATTCTATGTGTAATTGTCGTGAATTATATGCAATTTTGTTGTATTGTAACTGAATTTTGATAATAAATTGCTAATTTAGGTTTTAATTTTTGCATTTTTGCTATTTTTATTTTTTATTTTTTTTATACTGGATTATTTAGCTATAGTATGTCAATAGTTTGATATTATTAGCAAATTGGTGGTGTCGGTGGTGGTGGTGGTCTGGGTTTGGGGTTTCGGTGGTGGTGGTGGTGGTCTAGGTTTGGGGGTTTTGGTGGTGTTGGTGGTTTCGGTGATTTTCAGTGGGTAAGGTGGTTTCGCTTGGTTTGTGGGTGGAATCGGTTTTTTTTGGTGGGTGTCGGTGGTTGTGTTGGTCTGGGTTTGGGGGTTTTGGTGGTGTCGGTGGTGGTGGTGGTCTGGGTTTGGGGTTTCGATGGTGTCGGTGGTCTGGGTTTGGAGGTTTCGGTGGTGGTGGTGGTCTAGGTTTGGGGCTTAATTGTTCCCTCTAAATCGGCCGCAGGAAATTATGGGAAAAAGAGAGGTACCGCAATTGTAAAATATGTGTAAGGTTATAAATTTTGTAATTTTTTTTTTTTTTTTTTTTTGTGTGTGTGTGAAAGGTTATTGTAAAATCTCAAATATAAATTTAAAATATGTGTTGGTTTTAAGCCTCTAGTTTCTGGCATGTTGAAAGCCTATCAGCTCAATTGGTCGAGCACCGTGTAATCACGGGATGTAGGTTCGAATCCTACAAAGATTTTTTTAATACCCTTTATTTTTATATTTAGTGACCTCTGGGTAAATGGTGTCAAATTGATATAATTACCCGAAGTTTATATATAGTTATTAGTTACCTTATGTTCGTATATAATGACCTTAGTATCATGGAAATGTTGTAAATTTTGTTTCAGTCACCTTATTTTTGTATATATCAATCTTGCTGGATTTTCAGCAACATTGCAAGCTATAATTAATATAATTATCTTATCTTTGTATATAGCGACCTATATGTAAATGTGGTCAAAATTGATATAGTTACCCTACTTTTGTATATAGTGACTTCTATGAATAGGATCAAAATTGATAAAGTTACTCTATTTTTGTATATAGTGACAAATGTTGTAAAAATTGATATAGTTACCCTATTTTTGTATACAATTACGTTATTTTTATATATAGTGACTCTACTTTATTATTTTTTTAAACCGTTAGATCTTGTTAGTAATAATGGATGGTTGAGATTTTCTGTTTTTAGTTTTCACCATAAGCTCTGTTTTCAGCGGAACCTTCCCGTATATATATATAAAATATTTTTTAATTAGAATAAAGAGGATAACATTCTTAAAAAAAAAATTGAACATGATAGATTTTTTATATTGCACACGCAAGCATTGCGTGTGTCTCTTAGCTTGTTCCCATAACTTGTATTGCCTTTTTAAAAGTACAAATTATTTGTAATCTTTGACTTATTTTTTTTTTTTAAATGTCATCATGAAAATATTGTAATATTGTTGGCAAATTTTGTACTCGTAATATGTTGAAGTGTTGAACTGTACAAGTATTTTTTTTTTTTTTAATAAACTTAATCAATCAATCAATACTTTATATACTAAAAGGCACACCAGTAATGACACGTGTCATTTTCTAGTGTGTCCTTAGGTTTTTTTTTTTTTTTAATATCTATAAATATAACTTAACTTTTTAGGCAGTAAATAAGTTAACTTTAATGATTCCTTTTTGGCAAACATATTAAAAAATCAGATGTATAATGAAATATTGTACATCCACTATAAAGTTACCTTAAAATAATCAAAAGTTATCCTATAATGAATGAATGTTACCCAGTATATATAAGTTACCCTGATTTAAATAAAAGTTATTTATGCTTTATTGCCCAAAAAACTTTAAAAGTAATTCTAAATATAATAAAAGTTACCTCGACGTTTAGTAATATTACTGTATATCGGATGTATACAAAAGTTTTTGTACCATTTTAATTACTTTGTAAAGAAAACTTAATATTTCCATGTAATATCTTACTTATTATAAAATCCTTAT